CTTCCCTTATGCGAGTCCTCTTACAGCCGGCTGTGGAGTTTCTCCAGCCTTGGAAGACCAGGTAAGATGCTCGAGCAGCCTGGCAAATCCAGAGCGAACTTGGGCCCATAGAGCCAATTGTGGTCCCAGCCAATGCAGGACTTTCCACCAAGCACTCTGCTTTCGCTGGCATCACAAGGGCCGGAAAGAGTGGCTGCTCCTCTCCGAGGACAGCAGCGTGTATTTTGTTCGCACCAGCAAATCCGGCAAAACAGTCCGAGCCGGACCCTGTGGGCAATGGAGATGCATGGAAGACCCAGCAGAGCTCCACGGGGGAACGGGAGGCGACCCGCCCGTGCAGTGGCTTCGCCTTTTAAACTTTAATTGCACTGGCTGTGGTAACATTCCAACCCATAACCTCAACTTCTTGCCCGGTCCTGGGAAAAGGCAACCAGCGATCTTGCATGGAGAGGATGGAAGACGCATCGAGCTCTACTGTGCCCTTTGTCTAGAAAGCTTCCGAGCGTGCACGTGGAGCTGGCCGAGTTTCGACCAAGCAGTTAGGAGACCGGTGTTTCTGGACTACGCTTCCCTTGCTAACTTGCGTCAGTTAGGTCACCAAGGTACGGAGCCCGTAGAACCTATGCTGGCGCCGCTGTCTTCTGCAGCCAGCGCACATGGCTGGACCTTCCTTGAGGAAGGGTGTTCTCAGGATCTAGACTCCCCAGAAGAAGCAGGCAACAGTGATTGGCTGGTGTGTGGCTTTGAAGACTTGGAAGACGTCCCCTGGGAGGTCTGACCTAATCCGGCCCCAACCCACCCAAATTGCAGGAGCTATGCCCTGCCAGAATCAAGGGTGAGATGCTCACCCTCCGGAATCCCTTTGTCACGGGTGAAGCTTCTCCCCGTCCAATCAGCGACGGTCCTGTGAGTCCGTTCCCAAACTGAGAGTGCCATAGGGCACCACGGAGAATCTTGCATAGAATTGGATCATTTAATGATCGCATAAGGATGCAGGTTGTAAGAATGCAAGCAGAAGTGCTCAGTCCCGGCACGTACCCAGATCCATCCGTCGGAATATTTTCGCAGTTGTTCCGATGGACACCCTGCAGGACAGGCCGCCTCGATGCGGCTTTTGTTCAGCCTGACACCGGTTCGGCCCCTTTGCTCGGTCTGTGCAGCAGACCGCTGGACCGGGTTTTCGGGCTCAGGTGCTTGTGGGTCTTCCACAGGCCCAACACGGGGTTCTCGCAAACACAGCGCACGAAAGGATAACGTTAGAACCGCACCCTGAAGATCCTCACTGGTTGATGAGGGGAGGGAGGGCGCTGAGGTGTGGCAGGAACGGACGAGGATCCTAGTACGCCGACCGTATGAGGTTTAGGGCATTTCCCTGTTTGGGGTTACCCGTGTTTGGCCTGTCGAGGATCTCCTTTGAGATTCCTGCAGGGTGCTGTTGTTTCTCTCCGGGTGGTGCAAGCCCATCTTGGAGGAAGCCTAGCGGCAGGCGTTGTTGTTAGGGACCAATGCTTGGCTGACGGACAGCCAGAGGCACCAGATTGTGGAGGTTAAAGGCTGTGGCTCGGTGCCTGAAAGCCTGCCCAACTGAGCTGCCCAAATCAACCAAGCCCTCCCTGCGTGCAAGTGGTATGGGCTCCTTGGAGCCGCTGAGGTTGAACCAGTTAGTAAGAGCGAGAAAGCTGGTTCCCCTCCCTGGTGAGTAAGTGCGAGAAAGCCAGGTCAGCAAACGGGGCTAACAGGAGCTCAGTGCTGCTGCGGCATGAGTTCCTGGGGCCTAGGTTAGTAAGGGCGAGAAAGCCTAGGCCTGTGCCGGAGGTTGGCGACTTTGCCAAGCCACTTGCGTTCAGTTTAGTACAGGCATTGCCCATGTATCGGTTCCAGACCTTCTGCCTTTTCTGAGTGAGCCGGAAGTGGGTGAGTTTCTCCCCTGTACTGGCAGGGCTGATAGGGTAGGCAGTACAGACCAGGCAGTTCAACCTGCAGAACATTTTGCCTAGGGCTTTGTACAGTGCCAAACCAGTGAGTAGCCGTAGGCCGCCGAGCTTGGCCCTTTTTCTTCTCTCGGTGCTCCCTGCACATAGTACGGCCGTGTCAAGCAGGCCAAGGACACCTCGAGAGTCCCTTTTCCGTGCATAGTTAATACCTACCGGAACTCCGGTTCCGAAGAGCCTAACCTGGCTAGCGACTCAGCCCGCTTTCGAGTGATATATGTGACCCTCCTAGTTTCCCAGTTGACACGTGATGTGCACTTGAGTTGTCTGCTATGAGTGTGAAGCATAGGCACGAGGACATGTCAGGCACTGCAGATTTCTTTTGGCTTGGTGAAACCTTGTTTTGAGTAGGAAGAACCGTTTTCTGTTCGTTTTCTCGAAACTCGTTTGTCGGAACTCGTATCCTGTTTGTGACCTGGTATTTGGTGACCAGAAGTGACTCAAGCCAGTTTAAGTCTGCACAGAGCTCAGCAGAGCACCTAAGAGGTGCTAGGAACCTACCCACAGTGTTTAGGAGTAGAAGTTCCATGGCTGAGTGTATTTACCTGAAGTACCTTTGTTTTCCCATGTCTGGCAGACAGTGTTTGAAGCTGGAGAGCCGTGCTCGCATTGGCTCAAGCCGAGCGGAGCTCGAGTAACTGTGAATAGCGCAGTGAAGAAAAGAGTCCGCACTTTGTGCTGTGAGGTTGAGTGTAACCTTGACTTGAGGTCCCTTAGGCCCCAGTAGCCGTGCCACGTGTTTGAACGGTCGTGGACAGTCACGTACTTGTCTGCAAAGCGGCTTTTGAGCATAAGTGTCTTGGAGAAGAAGTTGGTGGGTGACGGTGGGAACGGTGGGTGGGTAAGGGTGGAAATTGTAGAAACGCGCGGGCGGAGAAGGCAAACGGGCAAGAACCCCACGAGGTGTGGGGAAAGTGCGTTATGTCGCAAATAGCTTGTAAAGTTGCCTTCGGGACAGTTATGTTTGTCCGGTCCTCTTTACACTGCACGCCGCGGTCCGCTTGAATCAGAAAAGTCACTTTGCTTCAGAGTCGCATCGAGCTGTTTCATCTGCAGATGGTTCGCTCAGGGGGATATGGAAGTGCTTTTTTGAGACTTACACGATTCCTTCTTTTGTATTGAGGCTTCTTACACTATGGAAAAAACCGAGATGTAGCCACGCAAAGGATAGTTGCGCAACTTTCCAAACTCGCGCGGTACTTCGTAAAGCCTTTGTTTATCAACATTTGTTATGCGCAAGTTTTCTGAAGACAACCCATTTCCAACATTTTGCCATAGAAGCTTGGTTACATGTTGCGGCTCAATACGGTTTTAGGACGGGTCATGTTTGCGCCATCTTGTTGAGATTTATGAATTAAGGACAGACCCCAGCTCTGCGGGCGGAAAGTAAGAATGTCACCTTACTTGATCTCGTCTTTTTATTCCCCCGTCGGGGTTTGGGATGTGCTGACGATACATTTGATTGTTCAGGTCTGGCTGATCAGATCAACCTTTTTGACGGTCACTGTAGCAAGGGCTCAAAGCACTTACAGTTCCGAATATCCAAGGCAGGCACTGCCTAGCTTTCAGACGCCCACTGTTGTGGAAGCTTCACGCTTGTCGTTCCACAGTTGAAAACCCCCTGCACAACTCGTGCATTTGGACTCTGCTCATTCTAACAGTACTTCTCGCATTTTTAGGATCATATTCTGCGTCACCCAGACGAATTGGAAAATCAATCTGTTTTCTCCCAAGCTCGCGCGTATCGACGAACCTTCGGCGCCAAACCGCGCAGGCCGCCCCAGGCCGCCCCAGAGCACACTCGGAGTCCACCCTCACTGAAATAAAGCAACATTTTGGATCGTCGTCAATTGGACCCCGTTTAAGTAAGTACCACAATCCCAGTCCGACTCATCACAAATGCTGTGTTTTCATGCAGTTTCACCTGCAGCATCAGATAGGAAGCTTTGGGCCCTTAACCTTCAGGTAGTTGCCAAATGGCGTGCATCCGCCTCATAACATGCTAATAATGTCCGGTGACCCCCTTAGCAATGAAATAAGCAGTCGATTCTCACGATGTGCACAGAGAATAAAAAGGAAGCACGTTGGTTCTGCAGGTGTTTGCAAGCTTTTGCCGAGTTTTGGTCAACAAAAGAGGCAATTTTCATACTTCTATTTCATTTTTCAATGAAGCGTTTACACTGCGGCATTTGCATTTGCTCATGGAGTTCGGCATTGATGAACAAGTTTGGATATGTAACCCATTCGGGATGAGGATTGGTTTTTCTACGGCATTGCTGGTACTTACTTCCGCACGCATATGCAGATGACAACTAGGGAAACTTTCAGCACCAAATTTGTTGAAAGTGCAGCGATGTCAGTATCAGGGCACATGGAGTACTGACCTTAGCACATGGTTTGCACATCCCTGCAACGTCTGTGGTTAGAGTCATGCTTGCAAGTTTTGAGTTTTGTGAGACGTTCAAGCATGTGCTCAAGGCCAGGTTGCGACGACAATCGCACTGCTTCGCAGGCTCCGCCGCAGAGTTCATTTTTGCTGTGTTGTGTATTTATACTCACTTGCAAGGCTTTTTCATTGTGGAAGTGGGTGCTGGTGCTAGCTATTTTCGCTTCTTCCCAGCAATTATCGGTTGCATGGAATCCGAACAAGCAGAACACAGATTACTGACAGATGAGATTCTTACATCTTCTGTTGCGTGCATGAATGACTGAGGCTGGCCTTTCAGTTCGCCACCCTTCTTGGTGGATGGTGTTGAGGCACGAGCGCGAGCGCGCGCGAACGAGTGTGCTGTTGAAGCTTCAAACCAGCAAGGTCAAGTTTTCTCAGGCATCTGGCTCGATCCGCCACGTGCAACTTATGTAATTGTTTTTGTGGTGCTTGTGGATCGACTCTTGAACTTCATGTCCATCATTCGTTCTTGAACTTTTCGATGTTTATCGCCGGAAGCAAGTTGGACTCGGCAGACCAGGAAGTTTGATGAGGTTTATCTTTGTTGCGACATATGCGAAATGACCGATGATGATGATGGCTTGTCCACCTACGGTCTGGCGCTGCTCGGAGCAGGCCGGGCCGGGCCAGCACGGGCCACACACGACAAGACTGTCACGTGAATGCGTTCTGCAGGAGCAGGTGTTGCCGCCGGGATTCTTGTCAAGGCTGTATGATTGAATTCGATGGTCCAGTCTTCTGTGTGCCATATACAGCAGTGTCGAAGGCCTTCAAGATAGTTTTGCACGTCTGCCTGGAGTTGGTTTGGCTCCATCTTCCACATTCTTTGGAGGCCAGGACAGGCCCTCGCATGTTCGAAAGTTGGGAAAGTTTAATTCCCCGATTGCTTGACAGGATGCTGGCTGGACTGCAGAGGCACGGCTGGGCAGAAGCCGACGATTCGAATGCTGGGGATTGGGCGTTTCTTCCGTGCACGGCCTACATACTACCCTTTGATCCACGGTGGCAGGTGCCATTTGGGCTTTGGAATCTCCCATGGATCTTGGGAGCTTTATTTGGACTGGCGGTTGGAACTCTGCGGCAATCGCTTCCACCCTCTGCAGTCAGAGCCTCGTCTTTTTGCTCAGGTAGGTTTTTATCGGATCTCCCATGCTCCTTGCCGGGCCTCCTACCCCAGAGAATCGTGCAAAGAATCCCCCATTGTACCCATGGAGTGCCCGCTCCCACGCTCCCAGAGAATCCGGCAGAGAAGTCCACGGAGCAAGACATGGAGTACTCAGTGCTCACCCCGGGCTCACCCCCACAGATTCCAGAGATCCCGCCCCCTCCAGATATCCCCACACCGTATCCCGCAGAGTATCCCGGGTGCCCAACCCACGTGCTTCCTGCACTGGCAGTCGAAACTGCTCAGTCTTGATGTGGGAATGTTTGAAGTGAATGCTGTTGAAATTTGTTATTAGCATTGTTTCTCCAGGGGGAAATGCTGTCCCAGCTCAGTCCTACATGGAAGTACACGTATCGAGGTTACAACATTGGGCATTTGGGTTCGTGAGCTTCACGGCCCTCGCGGATCTGCGGAACCAGGCTCCGCAATTCATTCTGGCACCACAGACACATACACGTGTATGATAGTTCTTCAGTCATCCGCTGCAAGAGGTTCATGGCTGGCGCAGCTGGTGGTCGCAGGTCTTCTGACAGCTCTCAGTGGGGCAGCTGTCGGTGGAATCCCAAGAAGTAGATGAAGTGTCTGCAGCAACTTGTTGATTCATCTGCTGAGTCTTTGATAGTTGGATCAGTTTCTGAGTTAAAGATTTGGGCACGTGTGCATGGCAAGGGCCAGAGCCAATTGTCATCATCGCTGCCAGCTCAAAGTGTACGCGCTAGTGGAAATTAGGCAGCATATGGTAAACGCGATTCTGTTTGCTCCGAGATGTTTGGCAGAGTTTTTCCTGAGGTCCCCAGCGTCCTCTGCGGATTCTTTGCTCGAGGACAAACCTGGGCCATTGCGCCGTCCATGTCTTTGCATCTTTTTTTTCTGGCCATCTGCAGGGCTCTTGAAACAGCCAGCGCGCGTGGTACGCGTTGCTGCATTGGCAGGCAGAACCCCCATTCCAGATCATTCCAGAGGGGAGCTCTCTTTGTGGCATCTTTGCTTGTTCGCCGTTCTTGGACCCGGCCAGGTGGTGCGGGTGGCCTCAGTGCCTTTTTCGGGCTGCCGCTGGCGAGCGCCTTCCTGGTTCTGGAGGCACCCCATGGCTGTGAAATCACGGTGTACTTGCTTAGCACTTGCTTGGTCGGTTTAGGTTCCGCACGTGGATGGTGCAGAATTTGCCATGGAGGCAGGGAGACAGACTAAAGAGAGTCTGTTTCTGCGCCACAGCTTTAGGCTTTGCCCGCTTGCGTGGTCGCAAGCATCACGGGCACTTTAGCTGGAGATTCCATATGGCATCCAGCCTCGCTCCTTGGGAACAGCACCTTGGCCTTCCGTGTTACATTTTGAATATTTGTCATCAACTCTTCAGCCTCTTCGTGAGCCACAAAGTTCCGTTGGTCTATGTTGGCATTTGAGGTCGATTTGGGTTTCCGGGAAGCAGTCCATTGCACGCACAGCGACCATTTGGCGTGGGAGCGGTCCTTTTCGCTCCGTTTGCAGGCATGTGTGGAGGTTGGGCTGCTGTGCTGCATGGTCTTTGTGAAATCAGAGACATGAGCCTTGTGTTGCCTGCGGCTGAAACTAGTTCGGTGCGCAGGCTTCGCGTCTCACCTGCTGATCGCCTGCATGAAATCATTGCACCAGATCTTCAACTGGGCCCGAAGCATCGGGCCCTGGAAGCGTTTGCAGCGGAGGAGATTTTGAGACCAGAAACATACCCACGCACCTAACATCACCTAACGCACCATGCTTGCAAAGACATTCCAACCTCCATCTGCAGGAGGATATACTTCCCTCTCTTTCTGGCCGGCATAGGAGCAGTCAACGGTGACGCTCAGCTGCCATTACCCAATGACTGTTCATGGAAAAGATGGAATCAAGCAGAAGTGAGGCTCTGGGCATCTTGTATCCCAGCGCGCTTTGGTGGGGAGAGGACCAGCTTCAGGCAGTCACGGCCAGCGCTCAATGATTTTGGATTTGCTCCCTGCCGGCCTCACTGTCACAGGTGGTTCTGACTCGCGGCTGTGAAGAAGTTGCTGACTTGTCAGAATGTGTGCCCGTGAAGTTGTCGTGCACTCAGCTGTTGCAGATGACGGTGAGATACGGCGAGTTTGAGTGGCAGAGGCAGCGTGAGTTCAAGGCCCTATTGGTATGACAAGCTGCAGGCTAATGTGTGGCCCCGAGAGAAGAGCCCATGGCGCACTGCAATCTCAGCAGCGATCACTGCAGCTATGCCATGTGATGCCGGCAGGTGGCGGTCCAGGCGTCCCCTGGCCGTCCCATGTCTACGCAAGCAATGGTGGGTCTTGGCATAGTCAAGATGGTGATGATCAGTCTTTGTGAGGCCGAGCTTGAGATGTGGGCTGCTTTGATGGATGCAGCTGTGCCATGACAGGCCGGGGGCTTCGTAGGTGGCGTGATCTACCCTGTCGCCTCTTGGCAGTGACATTGGATCCAGCAGGTGTGCTCATTTGCTGATTGGTTTGCTGCTGGTTCGTGCAGTATGTTCTCAGTGGTTTGACAGGCTTTTCTGGCTGGCTCCTTTGGTTCAGCCTTGGGGTCTACTTCTTGGATCGCCTCCTTGGGAGGACAGTGACTTGGCGTGCACTCATCAAGTTTGGAAATGTCCAAGCCTGTAAGTTTCACTGTGGCTTCTCAGGTTTGTCTACCTTAGCACTGCTGCGGTCCACGCCTCATGCTGTGACGGCCCGAAAATCAGGAAACACACTGTGGGAAGCTATATAGCTTTTCAGGCTATGTCCACAGCGCTGTCAGCACTTCTGAACGCGCACCTCTTTGGAGTTCTTCTTGTTTTGGTGCTACAGGCTGGCGTTCTGCACTACATGGTTTTGCCATTGCTACAGTACTTCTGGGACTTGTTTGCATCCTGTTGCCTGGAGTCAGGACAACATTCCGCATGGCAACGTGTCGTCACAGATCATCGCCCTCCTGACTGCGGTTTATGTTCATTATCTGCTGACAAGAAAATGTATCCCTTCGTATTTGCGCTTGATGCCATCCCAGAAGGCACGAGTGCACTGCGTGGGACGGCTTGTTGCCTTCGATGCTGGTTTGCGCTTATCAGCAGCATGGCTCCCATGACCAGGCAAGGCAGGATCTGATCTACTCAGATGTATCTGCGTCTCGTCTGCATTCGTGTTGCTTCTCTGGGGCTGCCGAGCTACCGTGCAGGACCTTCATGTTGTAGGTCGCCATGGGCACCAAATCCGCGCGGCAAGTGATTGAGGGCAGGTCGCCACCATATCCGCAGCAAAAACAATCGCGTGCACCCCTGGCACCTCGGCCACCCCCCGCACACCCCCCTCCACCCACCCAACCCACAAAGCTCCACACGTCGACCCTGAACCGTCAGCGAACTGTTGTTGGACACAGGCTGCGTCGGGGTATCGCCGAGAGAAGGAAAGTTGAGCACGCAAAGAGATCAATGCGGTGTTACTAGTGGATGAAAACTCAGACGGCTCGACTACGCTCCTCCAGAATGATCGAACGATGTGGTTTTTGCCGTATTGCCTGTATGGCTCGTCTTGCGCGAGAGCCATTCTGCAAGGTGCGCCGCTTCGATCGCGTGAGGAACGGCGTGTTCAGTCGACTGAAACCCCAGTGGCAAATCCGACCGAAGCACCTAAAATCCAAACATGTGTGAAGTGGGGTGTTCGATTTGGGGCGGGGTCGGCGCTGGCCCCATAAAGCTAGCGCTTTACAGCATCTCGAAGGCATAAGACGGCAGACTTTCAAGTTTTCGCGAGGGGCGCACGCGCGCACGCTTGCTTGTGCCCAGGGATGCCTCTGAACATGGACATGTCTGCACGTGTTACTCTTTCCTTGTTTTTTTCGTCGTCGAGCCGCCCTCAGTAGTAGGGAACGACACGAGGGACTGCACGGCTTTGCTTTTCGAAGCGCCGGGCCCTAAACTCTACACCCCCCAAAACGAAATGCCAATGTGCAGACCCTGTACCTGCAGCATCAAAGAACGACACTCCTTGCATCAGCAGCAAACAATAAGTTTGCAACTCACCGGCCGCAGAAGGGCCGCCCCACCGCATCAACTACAAGCACATCCAACTCTCGTACTTTCGAGATCCGCCTGGAGCGCGATCTTTCTTTGCCTTGCATGTCCAAGGCAAGTGAGGATGGATGCTGTGGCAGAGATGCAGATCAAAGTCGCGACCTGACCTGGCCTTCCGCATCACTGTTACCAGGTTACTAAGCGCAGCTGTACGTCAGGTGAATCCACCGCAGATGGAGAGCCAGATTCACAGTCGGGCGCGGAAGACGTGGAAGAGGGTGCTGCAGGAAGCCAGGCTGCATTGCACCGGATCGGTCAAGCCACCATCTAGCTGTGACCGCAGGAGAAGCATCAAGTTCAACAGTGATGGTGACGTCGCTTTAAGCCGAAGGTCAAAGCACCGTCGGAGCTTTGCAGATCAGAAGAGGTTAAGGAACGAAATGCCTTCACGGTCGGAGGATGCTCATGGCCTGCCCTTTCTGTCACCACCAGGAATGTACAGCAGAGTTCAGGTGAGACAGAGATTGATACGGCTTCTTCATCACGCAGCGCGTGGGAAGGTTGAACAGGTGCAGCCACTTTCACTTCTCCACTGTACAGAGTTCCGAATGATGAAGGGTTGCTGCGGCACCGTCACTGCAAAGAATCTCATGGGATGCAGGTGCGTTTTCGCAGATCTTTTGGAGGGCTTGAGCTGTTCTTCTTGTGGCCTGGTCGAGAGTCACAAGGTTCCATGTAAACGAACGAAGACAAGTCATGACAGCTAGCTCGTTAGCAGCTTGTTTTCGTTCTTGATGTGGACCATGAGGGGTCCAGGCGTGATGCATCGAGGGGAACTGTAGGTGGCGTCAGCAGACAGCTAGCTGTGTTTGCAAGGTCTTCGACTTCAGTCTGTGGGGGTAGCTTGGGATCTGCTCACAGGGCAGTCTATGTGCCAAGCAGGCAATACTTCCAAGAGACTTTGCCGACCCCAGCGTGCCAGTGGTGCCAGCTTCTAAGCTTGAGAACGCAACGTGTCATGTGTGAAGGGCGGAGTGCGCTTCGTGTGGATGAAAGGTGTTGTTGCCGCTGGCTTGTGTTTCAATGTGTTTGTGGCCGTGAAATTCGTTTCAGGCATACATGGCATGCCCATGAGCAGCCTTGCAACGCCTTGTTGTGTGGTTCTCTTGGCGGTCTGGGTTCATGTGGCGCAGGCTCTAAAAAGCCTGTGAAAACGTCGGACCCGAAGGCTGCACGAAAAGTTAGCTTGCCTGTACGAGCCCCGGACACACGGCACTGCCAGTTGTTTGTGTTGTTTGGTGGTCGGATCAAGAGTTTAATCGCTTTTTCATTTTGGCCTGACGAGATTCGGAGGTCGGTCGGCGGTCTGTGGAAGAGCAAAATGGACGACAAGGCGTTCTTTCTTTCTTGCCAGAGACCACATGGCAAGATGTCTCATGAAGGCAGTCCTCCAGATCGGGAGGCCGCGCAAGAAGGGAGCTGGCACAACCGCAAGGTTCATTGTATGTTCATTGTGTGATGAGCTGCAGGCATCCATTTGCAACTTCCTCGACTGCTGTGCTGCGGCGCCCAGGAGCGGGGGGAATTGAACTTTCCATACACACCGTGGCAAGAGCTTTGCTTCAGTACGTTCAATTTCCCGTCCTGTGCAGGAGTGACAGCAGCGGCATTCTGAGACATAATTCTTATGCAGGCCCACAACCGATCCCCGTAGAGAACCTCAGAGACACTCGACAGCTAGCACGAAAGGTGGAGTCGATCGGCCTGTGTGTCCACGACCTGTTTGACGCGCTTTGCGCACTATCTGCACTGCTCAGTGGAGCAATTGTGCTGTGCCAACATGCTGATTGACAGGTGGCTGCAAAGTGACAACCACCTGCATCCAAAGTTTTGTGGTTACAGGCTGCAGGATTGAATGGCCAATGGCCGGCCCTTCTTCGCAGTTTGGCTTGTTGTGCTGTGAGGAGCCCGGGACAATGCCTTGCCTTGATCGCTTCCCGTTCGAAGAGCTCTGACCTCTGCAGACGCAGCAAAGTCCGAGAAATTGCAAGAAGCAGAATTCAGCAGACTCTGCAGAGACTCTGCAGAGACTCTGCAGGTTGGGTAGCAATGTGCCTTCTCACTGGGAGCTGCTGAGCTGCAAGCATCTGCTGCGAACAGCGAGAAGGATTCTTGTAGGGCCTTGAGTGACCTTATGTCCTTATATGTCCTTATGGTTATGCGGAGAGGTACATGCTTCCTGGCGGCTGCGATAGCGAAAGGCCAGCCTTGCAACGCCTTGCGTCTTACTTGTCTAAAAAAACTGGACTGCTGAACCCTTCATCAGGGCTCAATGCCGTGAGCTTCGTGAGCGTGTTCGGCATGTAGATGGTGCGAAGGATCGCGTTGGTGAGAGTGGCTGTGTATTGCTGCATCTGCTCCGGGCCATCCTTTGTTCCGTTGAAAGCCTGCAATGAGGATGCGGTGACGATGCTTCGTTTTCTGCGTGCACGTCAAGGACGTGGGACCTGGCATGTCATATTGGTATGGTAATGCGTGTGAATATCAAGATGTCCTCGTAAGGTTTGGATGCTGCAGCAAAGATGTACGAGGAAGCCATGAGGCTTGCCGTGGGCCTGCTGAACTCATGTCCAAGAAACTTGTGTAGTCCCTTGTCAGGTGGCGCAGGCAGACGGGCTACGAGCTCGGGTTTCGGATGAACAGCAGGGATGATTGGCAAGGCTCCCAGACGGCCCAGCAGGTTTGGTGAAGACTAGTGACTCGGCTAAGATTCCTGAGGCTGCACAGAAAGGTTGACAGTTGTTGGCCCCCGACTGCCATGCTGGGCAAGGCCTCATCTTGAGTGCTACTTTTTAGGCGTTGCTTGGCAATGCTGAGACTCTGTGAAGGACCTGGATGGTGATCCCGTCTACTGGAACAGGCCGGCCTGGAGTCAAACTCGCACTGTGCCTGTGCTATCTTGTGCTATCTTGTGCTATCTTGTGCTATCTTGTGCTATCTTGTGCTATTTTTAGCTGTTTTGTTCTTATGTCCAACAGGATGGGCCTTGGTAGTATGGATTTCCTGGAGCAGGCTGGGTGTGCCCTAGACTTCTGGCCGGGTCTGCCATTCGCCAAGAATCGTGATGCAAGTATGCGGAGGTTCCAACAGAGTTCCTGATACAGCACGAGGTCTACACAATCACCCGTATTATGCAGGACTTCGGGAGAGCATTCGATCACTGTGTCGGCTATGTTTTCCAGAGGCAAGAGAGCTTTTCAGGCCTTGGAAGAGGCATCGCGGCTCAGCAATCGACCTGCAGCATCCTTGGAGCATCCTCGGAGCATCCTTTTAGAGCTCCATTTTTGGGTGCTTTGGCGGTAGCTTTGGGGGAATCCCCAGGTGATGTACTTCACGGTGGTGGCCGATCTTGGTGAACTCAGCTCTTGGGCTGAAGATCTGATGCGTGTCACAGCAAATTCTCACTCACCAAGCCAAAGGTCTGCGCAATTTCAATATCAAAGGAATCATGAAGCGGCTTGGCAGCTTCTGTCCCTTTTCGTAGACTTCAGATTTCATCGTTCGTTTTCGTAGACTCGGCACAGCTGTTTGCTCCAGGTACAAGGTCTGTGTGCGGACATTGGAAGACAATTATCCAGAGCTTGTGAAACGAATTGCGTTCGGCTGAGATGGGATGCAATGAGCTCTTGCATTATGCTGCAGCCTGATTAGCCTCACCTGCTGCAATTCGCTTGTCGTGCCACTTAGCTGAGATCGCAATCCGTGTCCCACGCATTGCTTACACGCTGTGGAACATCATCTCGAAATTCTTTGCCACTCCAGCTGGTTTGGGATCAGCATCTGCGCTTGTGATGCTTGTGCCTGCTCATTCTTGAGATTTCGGGTGCGGCATACCACGTAGTTCCCCGGCATTCCGTGAACTAAGCTTAATAGCCTGAAAAAGGCCACGTGTTAATTTCGTCTCTTAGCTGCCGCGTGAAGCCGAGAGATTGAACGACATTTTCGAGTCAAGGGGATATGGCTACATCCAGTTCTGCATCCTGAAAGGTTGGAAAGTTCATCAGACCTGGAGGTGCAGAGGATTCGCTGAGATTGGGCCCGAACTTGGCTGAGACTGGGCTGGCCAAGTGCTTCCGGTGACCTGCGGCATTCCCGTGGGAACAGAACATAGGGTGCGCTGCGACCGCGATGTGGAATTGAAAATTTTCTTCTGGGCGCCTATTTCCATGAGACTCGCCCAGTGTGGCTTATGCTTAAGGATGCCTCAATCCCTCCACATAGTCAGACCAAAAAAGATTCCCGTGAGTTCCATCCTTATCGCCCGTGCCACAGTATGGCTTCGCCACCGGTATGCCCTTTGCCCGCACTCTGGTGTAGGTCACACAGCCATCCTGGTCAGTAGAACTCCACCTAGCGTCCCCTGTCTCGGAAGCCCTGTGGAGTGTTTTCCGTTTCAGAAGTGGCACAGGAGTTGCAGCAAAATCCAGGAGTGAATCCTTTCCGAATGCTTTGCCATCTGATTAGCCGGAAGACGCTGCCTTTTCGGACTGTGGCGTTCCCTGCTCGTCTGTTGACATGAAGGGTGCACCGGAAAGCAAGAACAAGAGCACACACAAAGTGGATGGAAGTGGTGGAAGTCGCCCGTGCATGTTGGTTTCCAGGTGGAAGTTCTGTTGTTCCAGAGTTCCAACAGCTCGGACCAAGGCGAAATCGAGCAACTCTGCGCGCATCACATTGTGGCAAGTCCCGGAACACACATGCGAGACACCTCGTGTTCTATTTGGGCACGTGACAATCAAGGCTGATGCAAGAATTTCCCTGTTGCCGTGCACTCCTTGGTGTTGTGATGTCCCACCAGTCGAATCTAGGAATCGGTTGGGAACGACTGGCCACTTACCGTTGCCAGGATGAAGGCACTCGTGACAAGATTCAGATCGCAGATCCGCAGAACACCATGGCTGTCCGCTGCCCACCAACAAGTTGACAGCACACTGGGCCACTGAATGGGTGCTTGGCATGGTGTGGTCGTCCCAAGATCTTCCAAGGTTCTGAGCCAATTCATGGATCCAAAGTGGATTCCAGAGGCCATCTTGCCTGTCGCTCTCTACCTTTCATCGTCTATTGCTACATAGTTACATGATGTTACATGTGTCAAATGATGCTTTTTGTGGCTTACCCCCAGGCTTTGGGTGGGACGCATCGAATCGGAGAGAGCAAGGCGCTCAGAAGGCTGGTGCGACGATTCGACTGCCTCCTGCGCCCTTTCCTTCGACCACTCCTCTCCATATTGTTTGGGAGAACTTATTGGTCTTGTATGTGAGGGGCATAGTGTTGCATGTGTGTTAACAGAATTAGTTTAGATCATTGCGAAGTCTGCCCAGGTGCTTGGTGCGAGCCTTGCATACCCAGTCCACAAGGGCCTCCATCCGAGGTCCGTCCCAAGCGTCGTTTTCTGTTCTTCTTCCTTGTTTGTCTGGGTTTTGGAGCATGCATGCATCCAGGACACAATGAGGAGTTTGCAGTCGACGTATGGCGATGGTTAGCGTCATCGTTTTGAATTCATCTTTTTGTGGCTGCTGGCCATGCACTCCTGGCAGCATTGCACCTGCCGCTGATATATTTAAGTAGTGTCCGCAGCTTCCTTGAAGAGGATACCCAAGGTACGATCTTTGCGGGGCTTGACTTGTCTTGTTGGAAGCGGTTCCAACAAATCAGTATTCAGAGATGGGTCCGAAGGCATGATCCTGCTCGCTCAATGGTCTGAATCGAAAAAACCTGCGCCAGCGCTACGGTCGGATGTGCCACGAAAGTGAGAAGTTCCCCTATCCATTCCTAGCATCATGTCATATCATGTCCAAAGCCAGAATTGTCCAGGAAGGGCACGTCGACGCAGTTAGCTGTCATTGAGGCTTTCATGAAGCTGCGGGGGAGAGGAGCGATGTAAGTATGCATAGATATGTGCTTGTTGCGTCAGCGCTGACCATGCAAGCATGCGAGTTCAACTGCGTCTCTCGACAGCGACGAACAGAGAGTCTGTTCCCAGACGCTCATAGACCATGCTTGGTACAATCGTGACAACAGGCCCTCAGCCGTGAACCGATCTTGCGATACATGTCGAAACGTCTTCGGCACGCCGCCACTTTCAACATGGCCGACATCACTTCGAGTTCGGGCGGAGATGGCATGTCTTGCAGAGACGGGTTAAACGATTGCAACGACAAAGGCTTTGCAGGTGCTTTTGCAGGTGCTGGGTTGAATATTTGATGGCCAATTGACGGCTGATGATGCGAAGCCTTATCGGCTCTCGTGAGGTTTTTTTGTCAGTTGCAAAGAGACTCGTGTGCAATGTGTGCAATGTGCATGCCTACTTCTGTGTCGACGCAAAGCCTGGCCCTGCCCTCAAAGCGCACGTATTTGCAGAACGTCCTTATGCCAGTCTTGAACGTCTCGAAGTGTTTCTCGCAGCAGTTCCTCGTAACACATCGAATTCACTAGGTCGCTTGCCTTCTTGTTGATGCGTCAGCGTGTGGATGTCAAGACTCACAGGTGCCAACACCGATGCCGGCGTGGCAGCCCTGGCTGTGGTCACCTTCAGTGGCCTCAGTGCTCCGGATCAAAACATCTCACGCTTGTACATGCCTTGACATGAGATCGTTGTGCTGCGACGTGCTGAGCAGATGCTGTTGGAAGTGTTTGCGGACTCTTGCTGTGGTTTGCGCGTCTTGACTTCCACTCTTTCGGTTGGCACTCTTACATGCGTTGTCATGCGTTCCCCAAGCCTAGGTGTGGCCTGACTTCAACCAGCTACCGCCAGGATGCTACCTGATCGGCTGTCCCAGCAGCGGTTCGTGCCCTACCATTCCAGGGCCACGTTGGGCCATTCGACCAGGGTTTCTATCATGTTTCTATCAGACCAGGGTTTCTGTCAGGCCAGTTCTGCTTGGTCGCACCCGTGGATGTTGACACTGGCACGTGCCTCAGTTCGGCAGATCGTTTCAATTCAATACAAAGACACACTGCAGGCTTGTAGGTAGATGTGCCCAGGATGGTTGTGCAGCCCCTGTGACATCAACCTCTGTTGTGATAGGATTGATAAGCCTGAACTCCACGCAAAGTGCCAGGAAGAAAACCCCTTTGAAGCACCACAGCCCTGATACCCGTGTTGTGCCTTCTGGCTTCTGAGCAAGGCTTGTGGCCACTTCCCAGAATATCCTCTGCTAAGAAGACCTGCAAGCCAAGCCACAGCAAAGCCACAGCAAAGCCTGCAAGGCTTGACAAGCGTGGAGAAGAACGCGCATACTTTGCGCGAGCTTGATGAGCTCCAAGTGAGTGCCCCCCCCAAGCTGCAAGAGCTGATGTGAAGACCTGCTAAAGACATGCAGCTTTTACGAGAGGCTCACAAGAGCAGTTTCCGGTTGACGTTCCCACGCCTACGGGGCTGGGCGGGCTCAGCCAATCGAGTGCGCCTCCGTTCTTTTGCACTCTGTTTTTTTGGATGTGCGTTGAAGGATTTGAAGGTGGACGTGTTTGCACTTGGAGACGTTTCCAGGTGATGACTACGAAGACTTGGACGAGCTCGAAAGTGCATCATCCCCAGTCTTTGCTCGCCTTGTGTTGCAGCAGCTACTGCAGCTACTGCACAATGCAACACGTTTCCTGCCCTAGGCGTTCCAGAGCGACATGGCTGCCATGCAGGGGCCCCAAAACTGGGAAGGAGAGTTGAGAAGAGAGCTGGCGCGTCCTCGCATCATGCTACATCTTGAGTTTCTTGAGCCCGTCTTGCAGGGAGAACGGGCGAAAGATGGGCCAAGAGATCTTGAAGCTGCAGCGAGCCGAGCCTGCAAGAGCTGCGCCGTTGAAACGCAGGATGCTTCGAATGGTCCTCAGACCGTGATCACTCCGACTGACAGGTTGCAGCAGGCGGAGGACCTGGATGAGCCTCTGGAGGAGCCTGCGCCGCTGAAAGTCTCGCGGACAAGTCGAAGGCCTTGCAGGGTTTTCAATGTTGGCCATCCTGCGAGCATCGCTTTGTCTGCGGAGGCTTGATGTTCAGGTTTTCGTGTTGCGCGGGACTGCGGCACTTGGAATTCCTGCTTGTAGGAAGACTCGCCATCGAGACGACTTCACTGACACGTCATCTAGGCCTTTGATGCCTTTGAGAGTTTGGCATGGTTTGGCATGGTTTGGCATGGTTTGGCATGGTTTGGCATGGTTTGGCATGGTTTGGCATGGTTTGGAAATAGTTTGTGTGCACTGGCTAGGGGTGGCAACCCGAGACTTTGCTGCAACTTCATCCTGGCGATGGGGAGAGAGTACGTGCCTCGCTTAAAGCTTGGACTTAAGTCCAAGGAGCCTTTGTAACGTGTAAAGGGCTTTGTTGGCTCCGTCATTGTTGGGCTAAAACTAGAAGGGAGTGCAGGGTACATGTACAGGGCGAACCTTTAACGCTTCAGTAGCTCCACACTTCTCACGGCTACGTGGGCCACCTTCCATGTCCGAGTGTGTACAGGCGTACAAGCAGGCAGGGCAAGGAACTCCGTGCAACTCTCCGCACGTAAGCACCGTGATGATGTCAATGCCGCCACACATGCATGTCCTGTCAAGGTTCCCACCATCATTGGACGAGGCGGTGCCAACACAAAGTCAATCCATGAAGAGACAGGCTGCAAGGTGTCCTGTCCTCAGGTCATCACAGTGTTGTTGCACCCATGTGCATGTCAGAAGCTCGGGGAATTGTTGCACGGCCAGGCGAGTGCGTGGCCGCGGATCCGGGCATTTGGAGCAGCAGAGCAACGAGGAGAGAGAGTACATAAGACCTTCAGGTTCCATTTTCGTTCAAGTATGTTCAAGTATGTTTCATTTGTTTTCAACAAGTCGGGTGCTGAGGAGGCACCCACGAATCTAATGCTGGCGGCACCTCGGCTTTTTCAGCGAGTATGGCAGTAGGCAGGTCAGCTTGGATGAGAGCTCAGTGGAGCATGCTTCAGTTGTCTAGCCCCCTAAGCACCAGGTCACTGCTGAGCCAGGGAACAAGGAAGGCTTCATCCAGGCCGTCGCCAAGAGCCTTCTCCTGCTTTGGAACGTGCCTGGCCAATTGACCCAGTGCTTGTGGGCTTCGTAGCGCTTGTTACGAACTGGCTGGCGCTTGTGCCACTGAGGTGGACGAGCGGTATCAGCAGGACTGCCGCCGGTGCGGTGTTCGTCCTTCTTCCCCGAGCTTTTACATCAGCGTGGAGAACGAAGATGTGAAGATGGAGCTGGCTGAGGTTTTCGGCAAGGAGTTTACGACGTTGATCGCCCCTGGCTCTTTAGCCACAAGATCTTGCAGGACGAAGGTTTAAAGACTCTTGTTGACTTCAGCGGCAGAATTGGATGGCACCTGCTCTGGATCCCGGGGCGGTGTGTTTGTTGTTGTGATGTGACAGGTGCCAGCGGCTATCAGTCCTATGCTTTGCAAACCGTGGCTGGGATCCATACCAGGAGAGTCGCTAGGGAGTTGAACTCGTTTGCTATCCTTTCATTTCCCTTCGCAGGGCAGTCTCCACGATGTTCTCCAGCTAAAGAAAGGGAATCAAAATGAGCTTCCAGCGCTGTGTACAAGTTATATGAGAACATCTTGCCTTGCTTTGTTGTCCCAAGCTCCATATCACCCACGCTCAGCAGTGACCCTGGAGCAAGTTGGCAACCGACCAAGTATTTGCTTCGATTCTGTTCACTCACGACCGGAAGATGCGTTGAATTGGATACGACGACCTTGACTTGCGATTCTCTCCTGTGCTGATTCTGGAGCGTGCATTCAAAGATCTCTTTCGCAGCACCCCGCAAGTCAAGCATTTGCATTTTAGAGCTGCAACGCGAGGACACCTCCTTGTTGCAGAGCCATGCTTATCGTGCACCCTTTCATAGGATCAGCAGCTTGACGCCCTCAATCCCCAGCCCTGTGTTCAAATTGTTGCCTCAGCAGGGTTGCACGCTGAATGTTTCACAGCTCAGATGCTGCGGAAGCCGACAGCAGATCTGAGTTGGCAAGGCCCCGAAGGCCCCGGCCAAAGGTCGTCATGTGTTGGCACTGCTTTTCTGCCCAACGGATGCCCCACGGCCCACGGTTGATATCTTTCTAGAGTCGACACGATTTGACGAGCCCAACAAGCGAAGCAGTGGAAGAAGAAGGTGCTGGACCTCGGATGTGGTTGCAGCATGTTGCAGTGTCAGTGTGCTCCTGAAGGATAGCCAGGGCAATGTTCATGTGCTTTGGCTTGGATGCTATCTGATGCTATTTGGCTCAAGATGCTGTAGCTGTGCTTTTGGGCGTCTTGCGACTCCGTGCATTCAATAAGAAATCCCACAGGCACTGGTCTAAATCCGCTGCTGTCTTCAGTTGAGTAGGTCACAACAAATTGTTTCACACCTGGGAATGTAAGTGTTTCGCACAAGTCCAACCGTGGGAGTGTGTGCGGCTGCTTCCAAGCTAATTCGGTGCTGAATCTTTCATGCTTCCTTACGGGGGTACAGTGGTTGGCTGATGCGGAGGCGTGACTGGTTATGGCACGCTTGCTGGCGACGCTCGCTGTATGCCTCCAGGTGCAGCTTATCAAGCTTGTGATTTCTTTGTATGATGTTCTCAAAAGATGCAGCGATACTGAGGTGGCATGCGTGATGGGATCTGCGCAAGGCTCATGGGAACCTATTGACGAAGATGCAGCCCTCCAAGATGTTGATCATGCTTCGTTACATCTCATGGTATTAGTAGGCAGTACAGTTCATCTTCAAGCAGCTTCTCAGATCGACATCATGGCCTTAATTGATGACGAGCCGGAGGGAATTGCCATGATCCAGAAAGATGCGCGACTGACAGGTGGGAACTTGGTTTTTGACATTGTACTTGCCTTGTTCCGCACCAGCTGGCCTGCTTTGGAAATCCTCTGGATTCTTTTCGCCGCTTTGATGCCAGCTGCCGCGGCTGCCGGCTGCCGAGGTGACGATGACTGCCCTGAGGCAGGCATGAGGTGTTAAGAGGTGATGAGAGTGAGATCACAAACTGGCATGGACCGGATATGAGCCGCCATCAGATCACGGACCGGAGTGTTGACACAGGAATCTAGAGCAGGGCATGAGCATATCCTGTCATATCCCCTGGTTGCCTTGATGATTCTGCTTGGAAGTACAGCTTAGTATCAGCAAGTCGCATGAATGAAGGGTGAACATCAGGGTCTTCTAGAGTTCTTTAGTGCTGCATAGTGCGACAAAGCACAACAAATCGTGCAATTGACGGATGCTCCCCTTTGCTCACTTTGCTCCATCTCACGGGTCCACGGTTTCCCGTGCGACCCGTTGCGGAGCGCTGGCCTCTGCCGGCCCCGGGCAACGGCAGAGGCCCGGGCAACCAGGGCAACCCGCATTCCATCGGCGCTTCGCTGAGCCCCCGACGTTTCCGACCTTCCTCAGAGGCACGTGCCATGTCTTTGCTTCTGCAGGAGCACTGTTGTTTGGAGTATTTTCCAGAGGTGCAAGAAGAATTTCGAGTTACGGAGCGGAACAAGAATGAAGAATAACCCTGGTCGTGCAGAGCACGGTCCCGCGTCCTGTGATCGCAATGGGTTTCTTGTCTGGCAGTTATGCTGTTTTTGGATTGCGTTGGATTGCCCCTAGCGGGAGGCTCTTCGCAGCTTTTCTGCGTGGGCGCGGCGGTGGCTGCTTCGTGCCGGCGCAGGTCATCGGTTTGCCTTTTCCGTGGAGTTTCAGCGGAGCTGCTTCGCAGGCACGTTGCTTCGGCTGCCATGGCCTCGGACGCGTCTTCGGGCCAGGCTCGACAGCAATGCTCACAAGCAAATTCTCAAGCAAGCATGTGCCAATTTAGCATCGTCTGCATGATCAGGAGACGGGCCTTCTGCTCATTGAGCATTTGAATCTGAATGTGCCCGGCCTTCAGATTTGTCGCGTTGGCGGGCTTTCAATGCACAGCTTGCCACCGCCATGCGATCGCAGACCGTTGAGATACGGGATTTGGCGAGGCTGAGTACACAAGTTGCCCTGGAGTTCTACGAAGCGCTCCGATAGATTCAGAGATCCAGTTTTTTCTGCACATGAATGTCACCGCTTTTCACTTCTGTCCTACTTACCATGAGGGTGAGGGTCTGGGCGGCTTTGGAGTATTGTTCTGTTGATCATGCACGAAAGCTCCACACTCTGGAGTCTGTGCAAGGCTCTTGGATGCTGCCGAGATGCAAGGCGGCCAATGACAAAAACATTACACAGTCTCTTGGTTAAAGCTTAGCTTGAGGCTTGAATTTTGCATTTGTACAACAATGTTCGTGCTTCCGGGCAGGTAGAATTGCATGTCGCATCTGGCAAATCACAAAGTGCGTTTACAGTCTTGAATTGTGCGGAATGCAGGAAAATGACATCAACAATTGGTCATCACTACCTGCAGACGGGCCGAAGTGTCAGCAACGGGAACTGCCATAGAAGACTGAAGACCCGTCTGCGTTGCTCCTGGAACACCCCTCAAACACCCCCACACTTGCTGGGTTTCGGCCAGCTGTGGCACTGGCCTGACCCAGCACGACAAAAAACACGACAAACGAGAGACCGATGGACAATTGCAACGCAAAGACTGCAGTATCTGGACCTTAAGGTTCTTCTCTTTGTTACCACAAAGCACGAAGTGCGATGATGTGAAACTGTCAGCACCTCCATGTCAACACATAGGTAACTGTGGCTCGTTGACGCAGTTTCATACGCCGTCCCCCGAGAACGAAGTGTACATCGCAGGCAGGATGACCATGACAACCACTGCATGCAACGTGCTTAGTTCATTGCTGCGATTGTGCAGGTGATGGGGCTCAGGTGTGGCGTGGCCATGTGGAGTCCCTTGATCACGTACTTGTAGGTTGAAGAGACTTCTCAGTTTGTGGATTGCCCAACACATTCAGGTGAGTGAAAAAGCAACTCAGTGCTCATCAAAGGCTGCTCTACGACAGCCGTGCCTCACTCGATGCTGCGGCCACGCGAGTGGAGCACTTGCGGCAAAAGGCGCAAATGCATTCGCGAAACGCAGAGTTGTCTTGCATTGCAAAGTGTACCATTCTCTCCCGCCGAATTCTTCTTTGAGGCTGAATTCCAAGGCACCAGCCTACGAGTTGAAGACTGGAATGAAGAACTGGAGGCGGGCTCATGCTTCTAAGAAGAGAGAGAGACACGAGAGACGAAAGCACACTGGTGCTGACACGCTCAGGAGCTTCGAGTCTCCGATGCTTATGGCAATGTTTTTGCTCTTCGGGTGGCATCACCTGCGGCAGCCGCGGCCATCAGCCTTGGAGCTCGACCAGGAACAGAGAACTGCCAGGCGTGAGGTGTATGGAGTTATGATTGTTCTTTTGGGATGGTGTGGTACTGCACATGACTGCACGGTGCAGCTCAAGGGAGGCTCAAGATTTTAAGAGCTGAGAGTTTAGTGGAGAGTGCTTTATCTGGGGAGTTGTGGATAGGGGGCTGTGGCTCGCAAGCAGGTCCTGGGCATCGGCTCTGTGACGCTGCAGGCCACAAACACGGGAGAACGCCGTGACCGGGGGTTTCCAAGTGAGGGTTTGCGGATGTTTGCGGCTTTGCTTGGAAGCGCTCTGCGGGAGTGGACAGGTCCCTCCCGGCACCGCAGAGCGCGGGGCCAAGTTCTACGCCGAGGTGCGGGCGGTGCATGGGAGAGTTTTTCCTGGAGTGTGTCTGAATGTGTGTGGGTGTGTGTGTACACTTGTACAATGATGTGCAGCTTTGACAGTGAAGTTTGGAGTTGCGCTGATGCTGCGTGCTTCGTAGTAGCGGGTAGACCTGGTGTGTCCGGCATGTCCTGGCAATTTGTCGTCGTTGCATCCTCGGTCAGCTCCTGGGCTTCACTCCGGTTCCAGAGCGGAGCGGGACCTGGGCGTTGCTTGGCGGCCCGCGGTCGGCACAGCGTCTGCGGTTGGAGGCTCGGAAGACGAATAAGAATTAGTGGGATTCTAAGTCCATGACTCATATGACTCTGTGATTCTGTGGCTCTCTATGCTCTCTATGCTCTTTATGGCTCTGTATAACTCTGTGACTCTGCGACTCTGTTACCACCGGCGGCTAGGAGGATGCTGGATGCAGCGGGCGTGAGCTACTTCTTGGCATTGGCCATGAGAGCAAGTGTAAGATTGTGCGTATGCATCGGTGTCCGGTGTCTCAGGCTTGGGGAACACCTGGCCATCTATGTGCGTGACTTTGATGTCTGTTTCGAACGCTTACGTGAGCGAGGCCTTCTCTCACGTGTAGGGGAAAACAGGGACTGCTGCCTAGCATTGCCTAGCGTTGCCTGATGCGTGTCTCAGGCCTCATTTGGGTGAACCCTCGTTTTGTGCATCTCGACAAGTCGACCAATCTGGAGGAGGTGCTGGTGCGGCAGCGTAAACGGGGTGCCGTTGATGTCTGATTTCGTTCAGCTTGACATGTTGTGCGTGTCTTCCTTCATCCCACAGGCGAGGCACTATAACTGTTTCCGCTTCAAAGACATCATCGATCCTTGCCAGCTGTGTATGTGGGCAGTCGAGTCGAAGTTGTGCTTGCTTGTTTTTTCCCATGTACTGCCGTGTGGCTTGACTTGTGCCCAGAAGTCCAGGATTTGGAAAGTGGCAAGAAGCTTTTCGAGCTAGAGCATGAGGTTCTGGTCTTGATGTTCGGCCCGCACATGCCCTGCAAATCGACTCAATGCAAGGACAGTGTAAGTGTAGGTCGGAGAACTCATGCGATGCTACCAGGTGCGCTCGACCGGGCACAAAAGCTGCCCTTTGAGAACATAGACACTTCTTCTTGGCCCGAGCAGAAAAAGACTTCCGTGCGATTTCCGTTCGGTATCAGCGGTTGTGAGGAAAGAGAAGAGCACTTGAGCACAGTCCATGTGCCACAGTTTCCACGATGGCCTGGGAGGATTTTCGATTGGTTCCACCATCCGGCCCCGGCGATGCTACTTGACTTTGTTTTTAGTGCGGCATGGGTCGAGCTTGCACAACCAGACTTAGCACTTGAGCTGGCAATCAACTCAGTTGTTCGCACGAGGCTTTCTCATTTCGGCAGCTTGACACGAGGCCTGGGTTGTTGTTTGTGATCCGTGAAGCGCAGCGTCTGTGAGAACAATTTTATGTACATATATGCATATGTATGCATGTATGTATGTTTGTATATATGTATATGTATATATGTATATATGTATATATATATATATATACATATATATGTATATATATATATATATATAAGTTACAGTATATATATATATATATCTATCATGGGCCGTCGACGTGGCGAAATCGAAATGTGCCTGTTTATTTGATTTCCAGCTAGCCTGCAACTGAGGGCCTTTGCCCGAAGGATGCAGGTAGTACAATGTCAGGCCCCTTTCTAAACATACTCGAAGCAGCACACGTGACAGAGATGGAGGTCGGGTTTCAATGCGTATGAAACTACGATTACACGGTACGGTTCTTGAGGGTTTAGGTTTTAGGAGGGTTCAAGGTTGAGGATCATGCGATGAGATACATGCCTTTGTGGTAGCATTGCCTTCGGTGCAACTTTCAAAGAGACTCGGGTAGCCATATTGCTCGGTAACAGTTCTGAGCAGTTGATGGCGCCACTTGTGTTCACTGCTCCATCTGCTAGGGCCAGTTTGCACGGTCCGCATTCTTGAAGTGGACTTCAACGCTGCAGAGGCCACGCTGGAAATCTTGGTAAGATGTGCGTATTGTATGCCGCAAGCCGTACTTTGTGACATCGGCAGCGCATTTGGAATTTCATGAGTCTTGAGTGATGAAATGCTCCGGCATGTCGACCACACGTCGCTGCTAATGCAAGGCTTCCTTGCTGGGCTTGACGCCCGGCGTTGGTTTCACCAATCAACCTCGCGGGCAGAAGCTGCTTGCTAGACTGGCTACACTCTCTCTACATATATCTAGTTTGCAGCTCAGCAAGGGTAGAGTATTCATCGCAGTCACACTCTCTACATCTAGTTTGCAGCTGAGCAAGGGTAGAGGATTCATCGCGGTCGAAAATTGGCGCCAATCCGGATCAATTCGGATTCCTTAAACTCTAAGCCCAGCAGGCACGTGGAACCCTTCCCCTCAACTCTATATACCCTAGACCCTACACTCTATACCCTATACCCTGTTCGCATGCACGAGTAACACACAAAGTTCGCCTATCTGAAACGTAATTACCCCCCCCCCCCCTCCACCCCACCCCGCAAAAGATAGGATGCGTCGCGCAGTAAATTTGCGCTGCATCCTCTTCATCGAGCACGAAAATGCTGGAATTTACAGCATTTTCGGCGAATGTAACAGCAGATATGCTGGTTCCAAAGGTGCGGACATGGATGCTCTGGCCATTCGCACGCACTGGTAAAACGGACGTAATTTTGGTGCGGACAGAGATGCTGTGGACGTATGATGGCGCGGACATGGATGCTGTGACCTTTCGCACGCGCGGGCAACAAACATAATTACCCCCCCGCACCCCACCCCCCGCACCCCCCACCCCACCCCCCCACCCCAGGTCTGAGACCTTCTTCTCAAACGAAGTGCTGCTGCAACGAACAGCATGGCATATTCTTCGGGTTGACGCGTTCATCTTGACGAGTCCAACGGCATCCGTCGCACTGGGGGGGGGAATTCGTAGTAGTAGTAGTAGTAGTACTAGAATTACTCGTAGTACTAGTAGTACTGCGAGTAGTAAAAGTTGTACTACTAGTAGTACTAGTAGTACTACGAGTAGTACTACTGTAGCAGTACTACTAGTACTACGAGTAGTGCTACGAGTAGTACTATTAGTACTACTAGTAGTACTACCAGTACTACGAGTACTACAAAAGATAGGATGCATCGCGCAGTTTGCTCGGCATGGTGCGCCTGTCCTCTTCATCAAGCACGAAAATGCTGGAATTTATAGCATTTTCGGCGACTGTAACAGCAGATATGCTGGTATTTACAGCATTTCCGGCCGCAGAAGACATAAAAGCACAAAAACGCGATCGACAAAATCGAGGCTGAAAATCAGTGTTTTTTGGAGACGCAAAAAAACCCTAAATTTCTAAAACACATCGAGCGCGAATGGGATTTACAGCATTTTGTCGTCGAAAACGCACTTTTTCTCAAACAAACCTTTGAAAACGACACTTTTACAGTGCGGTTGTGCACATTTTCAAAAGTCACTGTCAAAAACCCAAGCGAAGCGCGCGTTTTTGAAAAAAAGACCTAAAAAAATGTGTTTTGTCCGTCGCACCAGGGGGGGCAAACCTACTACTAGTACCAGTAGTACTACTAGTAGTACTACTAGTAGTACTACTAGTAGTACTACTAGTAGTACTACTAGTAGTACTACCAGTAGCACTACCTAGTAGTACTGGTAGTACTAGTAGTACGAGTACTGCTAGTAGTACTAGTAGTACTCTTAGTAGTACTAGCAGTGCTGCTATGAACTGTATTGCGCTTGCTTAGCTATGCAGTTCCAGTTGGATGGACGAAGGAATGCAAAGTCAAATTGGCTGGGGACGGAGCCGCAGGATACGAGTGCTGGCGAACACTTGCATCAGCTTGGTATGCTTATCGAGTTCGTTTCAGTTTTGTTCCTCTCACTGTGAATGTGTCGCTGAGACTTTAAGTGCCGCCATGGCTGTTGACACACGTATTTTTCTTGTTTTTTTGACTTTTATTGCTAACATTTTTGTAATGTCAGAGGCAGCTGTAGCATGGCCTTAGTAGCCATCAGTGGCAGTTGCAACAGCAGCGGCAGCGGCAGCGGCGGCGGCGGCGGCAGCGGCGGCAGCGGCAGCAGCAGCAGCAGCAGCAGCAGCAGCAGCAGCAGCAGCAGCAGCAGCAGCAGCAGCAGCAGCAGCAGCAGCAGCAGCTGCTTTGTTTTGATACTCCCTCCGCGATACTGGAGATGTGTTTCATGCTTCACGCGTTTTATCGGGACATTCTGTGACCTGCCTTGGATAGAAGTTCACCAGTTGAGCCTGCAGAAGTGAAACCGTGAGAACAGCATTGCATGGCGGTTTGAGCGTTGGCCAAACACCAGGGTCGCGTGGCTAGTCTGACATCCAGCCCACGCGCGTCGCCATTCAGGCACGTGTCAGTGAATACCATGCGTCACAACATCTCAAGTTAAGTCGGTCGATGTTGCACAATGTCGCACGCCGTGCATAGCCTGAACCTCATGCACCTGTAGGCCCATGACAGACGTTCCAGCGAGCGGCTCCCAGATTCCCGTACACCATCGTACAGCCAGTACGCTTTGTTTCTGACTTCGGCGTGTGGTCCTTTGTCATGGATGGGTTAATGCCGCCAAATGTCCTACATTCTGCTTTCATTTTTCGCACATGACCAAGGAAGGAGCCTCGACTGTCCCAGTCGGAGTTGGACGCACAGCTGACGCAGGCAACGCAGGCTTTCAACGTGTCGCCCCGGCCATGTTTTCGAACGAGTTGACACGTGGACCCCTGACCTTACAAGGCTTGTAAAACTCTTGTAACGTCTCTAGTATTGGCTGACATGACAAGCTGCAGTGCAGCCTGCTCAATGCAGACCCAAGCGCGCATCAGAATGGCAGGAAGTCGCAGGCTGTCGAGCAGAGTGGTCACGCGGTAGTGGCCGGGCGTCTCAGAGCCTTGGGGGCCCATCTGGCGTCATTCAGTACAATCATGCCCCTGAACAGTTCAGTGAAATTCTTCAGTATCTGCAACCGCCGTGCGCTTGCATTTCCCCTTGGCACGACCCGCAGGGCTTTGGCACAAAGCCAGCTGGAAGACATCGTAGCTGCTGCTCATTGGCAGTGCCAAGCATGGCCAGAAGCTTGAGTTCGCAAGCTAGGAAGTACCAGGACCGGTGGCAAGGGTCTGAGCCAGCCATCATGAAGCTCAATGGGGCTTCGCTTTTGTTCTTTCTGCGTGAGGGTAGGACATGAAGAGGAACAGCAACGATGATAACCAGAACAAGAACAAGAACTAGAACTAGAGCTAGAACTAGAACTAGAATTAGTAATTAGAATTAGCCCTAGAAGAAGAACAAGAACAGCAACAGCAATAGCAACCTCAACAGCGGCAACGGCAACGGCAACAGCAACGGCAACAGCAACGACGGCAACGACGGCAACGGCAACGACGGCAACAACGGCAGCGACAGCAACGCGGCAACGGCAACAGCAACAGCATGTGTGTAGGTAAGTCCCGCGCCTTGGCGGGCAGTGAGGGTAGAAATGCGAGGTCCTGCCTTGGAGGCAGCAGATGATTCATGCTTTTTACGCATGTCAGGCGTGAAGAGGCCGCCGTAGCAGTCCGCATGTCCTGTGTGCTCGTGGGTCTTCTTTCTTCATCAGAAAAATCCTGCAAATGTTCCGAGGACCGATGTTGGAACCCTGGCAGTGCGCTAGTTTTTCCCCTCAAAAATCTGAATCTGAACGAAACAATGAGCCCTCACGAAACGGTGAAAGCCCTACTGCTTACCTCCAGCTTGTGCAGGAATGGCAGGCTCGTTCACAGAAGCTTGTGTTAAGGCTCCGTCGGAAGGCCGTCCCCTACAATTCGCGAAAGAAGTCTGTTACAGCCTGTTCCGAAGCTGAAACTTAAACAGTTGCACCTGGCGCAGACTACACTGCACAGCCTGCTGTGAGGCGTAGCAGTTTCAACATCCACAGCAGCAACAGCAACAACCACAACTACAACTACAACCACAGCCACAAATACAACTACAACCGCAACAGCAACCACGACAACCACGACAACCACAACAACCACAACAGCCACAACCACAACTCCGTGCAAAAACGAATAGCGCGCAGTACGCTGTTTTGCACATATGGGTTGTGCATCCTGTTTCGTGCATGTTAAATGCAGACTTCATAAGACAACAGAAGCCACGTTGAGCAAACATCAGCAACTATAAGCCGCATATTTCACAGTGGAGGTCTCGTTGGGCGCCCTCGCGCCGTACGGGTGTCTTTGCGTGAAGAAAGCCAAAGTCGTGGACCCATTCTACCACCATAATCATCCAGAATCCTGGAATATCCTGGAGCTTTACTTCCGCATCGCCGCGCCCTCCCTTGCCAACTCCAGGCTCCCGACAAGCCCTCCAATTTCCCGCACTCAGCATCAGCAAGCCATCAGGCGTGTGACAAGGGCAAGACCACTTCGACAACACTCCAAAAGCGCACCGCGATTCCTCAACGCCAAGCATCCACATGGCCAAAAGCGCACATATGGCACCTTGGGTGAGAGCACGCGGAAACATTTAGAGGTGAGAAATGCGCATGCTGCCTCGGCAAGAGCGTCCGGGCCCACAGCAACAACCGAGACAATCATCAAGAACCAGGCCCCCGTTTCCGTGTCTCGCGCCGTGCGCTCAACATAAGAACCCAACGTGTAAAGACATTTTGGGGAATGAGCAGTCAGCTTTATGCAAGCATGTATCCCGTGCGTACGAGCTTGCCTTTTCAGACACGGTTGAAGAATTGTAAGCTGAAGCTCTGTTGCTGCGCCTCCGCAGATTTCCCAAGACATGAGATGCATCCGCGCAGGAAGTCCCTGGAGACGCAATCACGGACGAGGAGGAGCTGCTTCAAGCATTTGATCTTGCCCTTGCCGAGGCTCGAAGTGTGCCAGACTGGGATGGTATGTGGTCATCACGCGCTCCGCGCACCCCCCTGGTTTAGGCTTGGGGCAGAGCGTTTGCCCCCTCCTCCGTTGTGCTGTGGTTTGAAGGGTTCGGGCTCAGCGTTTTAAGGCTTAGGGTTTTAAGGTTGATAGTGTCATGGTCTTGGTGCGCGCCCCTCCTTCTTTGGTGTGGCTGTGGGGCGGTTTGAGAGATTAGGGTTTAGGCCTCTAGCCTTTTTATTTGTCGCACTTGGCAGTTACCACGTTGATATGTATTGATGTGTGTTGTTGATGGCGAAGGCCGCTGAGAAGGGAGAGAAAGATCCTGCAGAGGAGCCGAAGGCCCGAGAGTTGGATAATGTGTTTACGTTGTGTTTCCGTTGTGTTCTCCGTTTCGTTGCCGGCCTTTGGGACCACTGAGGCATGGTGGCGCTCCGGGCTTTTCATCCTGATCACGGGTGTCGCTGCATTAGCTGCGCTTCTTCTTTTTTCTATGGCTGCTGGCGGAATGCGCTATTCCAGAGCCTGGCGCGGCACAGGAAGCACAGAGCTGTGCCATGCCAGCAACATCGTACAGTACCATCCGGCTTCTCCCTGCTCGAGCTTTGTTGTTGCAACGCGGGTTGTTGGCTTCCGTCCTCAACAGAAGAGTGGGCTTGTAAGTAGGAGATGGCATCCATGAGTCATGATTTCGTCATGTGCTCAGACCTTCAGCCATGAACTCAGCACGGAGCGTTAACTCAACACGATTAGAACATTTTGGAGAGGGCTCTTTCATGCTTTGAATAGCGAGGAATATTGAGCGAAGCCCAGGTGGCCAAAGCCAGCGTTTTCGAAACCCTGTGCTGGCGAGCTCCAGGTTGGGGGGATCACTGGGATCATTGGGATCTTTTTGAGAGGCTCCGTGATTCGTTTCCACTCAGATGCTACTCAGATGTCTTTAGCGGCTCTAACGCTCTGAGTGTTGCGATCGTTCTTACTGTTCATCGGCTGTTGCATCCTATGTGTCCGCAAGCATTACGAGCCAGTGTTGCTCGGCAAGAGACTGATTCAGAGAACGCTGTGCAGGTGAACGGTCTGGGAACCGTTTACTTGGTCAACGCAAAGTACAATCTTCCAGGCGCCCGTCGGCTTGCGCATTGGTGTTTTGCCAAGGGTCACGGCATGGGCATCCAGCTCGTGCCAATGAGCAACGGTATGAGCTTCAGATTCCAAGGTGACCCGGCAGGGAATGTTTGGATGGAGGACCTTTCGAACATTGAGCTGGTCAAAACGCAAGCATTGCATAGACCCCTGCTGAAGGACTCAAAGGTGGTCCTCACGGACAAGGGCCGAACCTATTGGGGCAACGCTTGTCCAGATCCGAAAGGCCAGCTGCTGACGCGTCGCCGCGAGATACATCAGCTCGGCAATGAGAACCTGCAAGAATGCCAGCTTTAGTCTCGTTAGTCTTTGTTCACTTTGTCCAGGCTCTCACGAGTTTCGGCAATCTGAGTACACGGAGCTTTATCTCCTGAACAAGCGCTTGGAGTATACGATGGATCTCCGTGGTGCCGACTGTGGCTGCTTCTTGACAACACCTAAGAGCCTAACAACTGTGCTTTCGGTGTGGCTTTGTGCTCTTCCAAGTGGGATCAAGAGAGATGAGAAGAGCGGGCAGCTAGGCAATGCAGCCTTCTACTTGGTGTCCATGTCCCGGAGCGAGTGGCCGACAAACTGCGAGGCGCCAGACACATTTGTAAGTTTAGAGTTGCCAGGTTCTGAAACTTACATTTGTGCAATGTTCCGCATTGCTGGTGCAAAAGTGCCTCCTGTACCACTTGTCGCCGCTTGTGAACATGCCGAGGGCTCTTGCACGTAAGAATCTCAGGACTACTACTGTGATGCGATGAATATTTGCGGTGCGACGTGCCTTGAGATTGACCTTCAAGAAGCGAAGCTTACATGGCATAGCGTTGAAATTTAGTGAGGGCAGGAGTTCATCATGGAGGTTCTGTGGTGCTACATCCGCCCTTGGCAGCTTCTAACTTGTTCTGACTCGATGCTTCGGCTTCACGTCTGCAAGATTCTACATCTGCACTTCTGGTTGAGCTCAGGAACTTACACGCATTCCACTCCACATTCCACGACTTCCTCAGTCAAACGGACCGCACTGGGGCTTGTTCAGCGAAGTCCAGCACTAGAAGGGGCATAGAAACATTCAGTCTTGCCGTCTTGCCGTGCCCTTCGCAGGCTCCTGGCATAGGAACTGGTGGAGGCCGGGAATAGGTTGAGAAGGGTGGTGTTTGGGCGTCAGCTGGGCAAAGCCACACCCATGATGCCACGGAAATGAACTGCCATCGAAGAGTAGCTGAGTAGCTGCCCATCTTAATCATCATGGACTCACGCGAAGTGCCCAGGATCAACCAATTGGATGGGGCCTCGAGACTTCTCCGCCTGGCAGCTGCTAGTCAGAACATGGTGAGTTTTGTTTGTGCAAAATGTCCACCACCCGTCGGAGTTATGGTTGCCTTGCAACTTCCTCAACTTCCGAAGCTTCTCGCTTAAGTCGTGCCAAAGCATTCGGAAGTCCTCCAGCTTCTGTGAACAGTTGTGTCGTCTAAGGTATGGCATCAACGCATCGTGCATCAACACCAGGATGAAGTACCGGGTCTCTGTGGAGTTCCCTGTTTATGATGCATGCCCGCAACGTTGTCGTAGGCAGAGGGCACAAGCAGAACTGGCTTAAGCCTAAGAGTGAGGCTCCCGGCACTTCACTTTGATATGGGCGGTTTAGGTTTGGGAGGCCAGGGCTTGGAGCGTCAGAGCTTCCAATTCTCCTTAGTGGTGGTCTGAAAACACTGCGTCCATGACCTCGTACATACATTTCCAGGGCGGCTAGTTCCGAACTGTGCTTACTAGAGTGTGTTCGAACGATGAGTAACGCATTCCTGCCTGAACGATGATTTACTTCCAATTGACATGTTTCCAACCTGCGCGCAATCGCGCAGCGCGTTCTTAACGGAACGGCGACTGCGTGCATGCTTCGTGCATGAACTTCCAGCGCGCGCACCGCCTGAACTAGTTTTTCGAAGCTGTTGAGAAAGCCACACGAATATCCTTCGATTCAGAAACTATGCACGATGCCGGAAAGCAGGATTCAGGAAACTGTCCGATTCAGGAAGCTTCCCGATTCAGGAAACTGCGCGATGCAGGAAACTGCCCGATTCATGAAAGTTGCTTCTCACGGAACCTGAATTTAGGAAGCTTGCAGTAGAGTATGGATTCACAAAATTGACGAGGGAGCTGTCTGGCACCATCAGAAGATATAGCAACAGCTAGCGCAACCCAAACATTGTAAGCAATCGCGACTAGGTAGCAAAGGCTCGCTGCCATGCCTAACCTCAGAGGCAACACAGCTGGACTCGGATTCGGACAGCTTTCCTCCGACTCAAGTGGACCCAAGGCAATCCAAACAAGATGTCAAAAGCATCCATGAAAGCAGTCTCGAATGCCGTCCTTGAAAGCTATCCTGAAAAGCATGGTCTCTAAATCTGCTGAGCTCAGTTTTCGCTGTGTCCACTGATCTCGGTTGATAGCCTTGCCTCTGCACACAATGAAGCACGCGAAGTCGTCGCGTCTCTTCGCGATCGTGTTCAGGGGGGTTCAAGCATCTCTTGCTCCTTCTAGTTTCCATCCAAACTAGTACTTCACTTAGTTAGCAGCTACCGACAAAGGAAGGCACCGAGGAGCTCAAGAGCATTGCAACTTGGCTGTGAGAGATTGCTGGCACGGCATCTGCTGATCAACGGGCCGCGGCTACTAAAGGACTTTCTAAGATCACGTCACCATGACATCATTGAGGACATCAGGCTGTCCCAGAACGGGTGCAGCGTGCAAGCATCCGCAGCAAAGTTCCAGGACTCCCGATGTTGAACGAGTGCATCAGCTCTTGTCATGTCTGGATGGAGGTATTTCGCTCTTGCAGAAGCACGGTCGGGTCCGTTTTTGCAGGCATCAATGCCGGTCCTCAGTGCAGAGATGAGAAAAGGAATGACGCCTGTGATGAGCTACTCAGACGGCAAATGAGCGGGTGTGGGATGTATGCAGATTGAGACTTTGCGAGTAAGTTAGTATTGTATGTGTGACAAACAGAAAATGCCTTGAATGAAGCGCTCCAGCTGAAGTTTGCCTTGCAAGACTGTTTCTGGTCGTGGATGAGTGCCGAGGCGCATTTGATGAACCAATGTTTCTGCGCTAGGGCAGGGGGGGGGGGCAGCCATGAACCGAATGCGAAAACCATGAACCATCCCTATACACCAGCAGTGCATTTTGGCTTGAATAGTAGGTTTAAGCACTAAGTGCTCAGTTGACCACTGACACCTGCCAATCTGCCGAAGAACCATGGGCGTGACGCATGTCAGCACTTCCCGATGAATTTGCGGGGCAAGAAAGCTAGAAAATCAGCAAGCATCACATCATCACATCCATGTTTGTTTCCGTTTCGTCGGAAGAGCATAGGTGGCCACAAGCGGCATCAGTATTTTGGCATTAGTAAGCGTGTCGTGATGTCCATGTGCCATCATGTTCCATCATGCGCTTGTGAAGAGCTCAGCAAACAGTATACTGAACGTTTCAGCCTTTGTTTGCACATAGTGACATGTCCAGACTGAGATGATTCACCGGTACCGCACGATGCAAGACGTGAGGCAGTGGCACCAAAGAGGCCAAGGAACATCAGGCAAAACACGCCAGGCAATATGCCGCAATGCACGCATATGCACGCCATTCGCTCAGCACGCAGCTCCACGCGATTCCAATGACCGCATCGAGATGCACGAGCGACAGGCTAGCTTAAGCCACAAGTGCCTCTTAAAGCACTTGCGCTATCCGCGGAAATGGCTCCATGACCCATGTCATCGATTGGCGGGTTTCATGGGTCGATTGACTAGAAATGGGCTCCGCGGTTGGCTCGGCGCCGCATCATACGGCAGAACTAGATAGGCCAATTGATTGCAAAAGCCGAAAGCAGTAGCTGAACATTGAGCCATGACTTACACTTCAGGCTACTGGCGGAGCTGGCGGATGGGGTGGCTCGATGGGAACGGCCCCGGGGAGGCCACATCACGTGGCACAGTTGTCATGTTGCCAGGTTGGTCAGCAAACTGCAGTTTCATCCAGTGCATCTCGAATGTGGCATATTGTTGGCAAGTTCTCAGCATCATTCAGCATCTCTCCGATCTCAGCTCCATGTTCATGTCCCTGCAATGTTGTCGTCAGGGTGCTTTCTGCACCGCTGAACAAGCCACTCGGTTCGTATCCTCTTCCATGTTTGTTCCATGGCTTGTGCTTGTCTTGTCTTGAAAAGTTTGGCGTGTGCTCGTTCAAAGTCGTCCGCGACTCAGGACGCCAAGGGCATCTGTTCGGACACTGCCCCTTGGCATTGGTGCCAATCCAGCCTGAAAGCCAGAGATCTCGTCTGTCGGTTTGGGCCTTCCCAGTTCGTGTTCCACAGTATGGAAGAGTACGCTACGAGTACGGTACTTGCAGTGTGCGGTGTGAAACATAAACTGCAGTTCCAGGGACCGGGTGCATGGGCCTTTCCTTCCCACACCCAGCAACAGGCAAGCATAAGCCACGGGCTGAGTCAGCATCTGCACCAAGCCCAAGCAGCACCCTCTTTACGCGTTAAGATATCCTTGAGTCCTGGACCAAACGATGCAGAGCAGAGGATTTGAAGTTGACAACCAAGCAGAGATCTGTCAGTTGTCGGGCCTTCAGAACTTTAGATCTAGGGTTTGTTTGCTGTCGACATCTCGAGAGAAAGGCTCACACACTTACACACAAGACAGCCTAGCGTGAAAGACAACCCGTGGCAATGCTTGACCATAAATCGGTTTGACAAGGCATGAGACTTTTGAGCCACCTCTGGCAACTTGAAAATACTGTTGAAGAAAATGTGCTCACTTGTGCAGTGCCATGCGATGCCCCAAGGTGGCCTTCTCGGACTTTTCAGTCACCGATCTTGCGCCAGAAAAGTGGACTGGTGTCTAAACCATCTGCAGGCTGCCACACACGTTCCAAAGCGGACATGTTCGTGTGGGTTGCTAGGGAAGGCGTCCGTCGTTGCGAGCCTTAGAGCTTAGAACATCTTCGCAAGTGTCCCTGTTTGCGATATGACCTCCTCCTATCAGTTGTTCAGTGCGTACACGTGCCTGCGGATTCCTCTTGGCAGTGCCAATAGCAAGACACTGTGCCAAAAGCCGTTGCTCAGAAGGCCGCTTTTCGACACTGTGCATTGCTATTAGCATTGCAGAATACGAGACACCCCACGCGTGACTCCGAATAGGTCGTTCGTTGGCTGTGCTCGTTGTAGAAGCATCTTGACCGTTTTAATGAGACAGCTTGTCATGCAGAGCTTGACCAATTCTACCCGGAAGGGCAGAGAAATACCCCATCTGAGGGTGAATCGCGAAAGCTAGCGAGCTCCTTGAGATCATTTTTGTTTACGTTGTTTACCATCTCTTTGCTAAGAGTTAGCCCGAGGCCCGTAACGAATGTTCTGACCAAGTGGGGAAATCTGCCGTGGGGGGGGGGGGAAGGGGGGGGGGGGGGGGTAAGGCAAGGGGGGGGGGGCATGGAGGGGGGGGGGGGGCTTGGGCAGGGGGGGGGGGGGTGGCGGGGGGTGGCAGCGGGGGGCAGGGGTGGGGCAGGTGGGGCAGGGGGGGGCAGGGGTGGGGCAGGAGGGGGAGGCCTGAAGAGATGTATACGTTAGGATAACGCCCTCCCCCTCTTTTTGAATAACAGCCTGCAAGTCATGCCTGGGCGCCAGTGGGCGGGAAGTTGGGGGGAGGGGGTGGGCAGTTGTATCACCCCTCCTTCCCTGGTTTGTCGGCTTGCCCTTTCCCCGATTTTGAACCCCCCCTCTGCTCCCTTTCCCAAGTTCTTTTTGAGAAGAAGCTTGCAAGTCATACTTCGTGTCGGAGGCGGAAAACTTTTGTACGGGCTTCAATGTGGATTTAGTCAAGAATGGAGGAGGTGGTGTGATATTAATATGAAAATGAAGAAACGTTGTTTATCGGCATGTTATTCTCAGGCCCGGAGGATCTTTGACCGGTCAGAGTCTTTGCTAGGAGGGCATGTGGGGGGATGATTAAACAGGTGCACGGCATCTGCGCATGTCATGCTTACCTCGTGGGCGCAGTTCACCCACACTCCTGTCAAGTCCTCATGCTTCTGCCAGCTTTCGTCGCCCCAATCTCAAATACCTTTGCCCTGGGCACTTTGCCAAGCAATCAGTGCTCATGTATTGCTCGCAGTATTGGTGGATGCATGGAACGGCTTCATTAATTCAACATTCTTTCGCATACCCAATCATCGTCAACCTGGTCAGCTGGCTATGAGCCATCGCCACCAACAATTCGAAGCCTTCTTAGGCCGTCTCTGTCTTCAGGCATTGGCGGATATACTTTTTGTTTTGAGGTGTGCTGAGCACGTACCGGAGCTGCTCTCCTCTCGTCGCTTTAGGCGGTTTGTGCAGCTCGGACCTCACAGCAGGCATTTAAGGGCAGCGGTGTACATTGTGGCGAGCAGTGAAGGGCACCAAAAACAATCGCGTGCTTGGATTCTTGCCAAACTGGTGTTGCATGATATGCGCTTCGAAGTTGCGACAGGTCTCCACAAAGGTTGGGGAGCAGTTCGAGTTCGGGTTTGAAGAAACCACGAACCAGGCAAGATATTGGATCAGCTTGCTTGCGCAGATGGCTGGAATGTGCATAGAGAGTCAGTTGCGAACTGAGACAGGGGAGTTTACACTGCTGCCAGTCACAGGTCTTTGTCGGACGTGCACCAGACTGCGAAATCCAGGCATCGCAGCTTCTGCACCAGCTCTGCCAATGCTGCCTATGCTCGGTTCATCGCCTAGGCGAAGGACACACACGTGTCCAAGAAGCACCTTCGGATCTATCGGGATGAGCACTTCCACTATTTCATTGAGGCCCGAAGTCGAGTCGCCGTCCCTTTGGCCCAGTCCTCTACAAATAGCTTCGAAATTTCCAAAACCTGATGCCAGTCACGTTCTTGCGCCAAGTACGCACAAAGTTCTCCAAGAGCTGATGCTGGTGCTGCTGAGCATATCGCTTCGTGAAGTTGTCCCTGGCCACCCCATGGCCGGTCTTTCATTGCGTTGGCCTTCTCCAAACAGTCCCAATCATTGTCAAAGCCAAAGTATAGTAAAGCTTTTCGCGCCGTCCTATCCATGCCTGCCGCTCGAATTTAACCTTTGGGTGTTCACTGCTGGTGAGACTACTTTTCGCGTCATCTGCTCTGTGCTTAGCCAATCGTGCACTTTGTGTCCGTACACAACCTGCAACGTTTGGAAAGTTGCATCGCCGCTGGCGCATTCCACATCATCAGGGTTCTGCAGGGCTGCACGCAGATTGACATCCAGGCGTTTGCTCGAGCAAGTATTTGCGATGGGTGCATGCAGACCATTCTAACTTAACCTGGATTCCTCCGTGCAAGGTCCTGAATACTTTACAACTTATCGCCTGCGGAACGTTCCACATGACAGCGTTTTGCGAAGAGCCACTCGCCTAGTGCAGTAAAACACCTGCTCGGATTGCACCTCGCTGGGAGTCTTGCAATGAGGGAACGGTGAATGACATCCCCCCCCCACATCCTGCTGCTGCCTCGTAAGACATTACCATGCTGGGTGAAAGCCTGTCAGAGCCATGAACTGAGATCCGATTGATTCCGATTGGCACGGGGTTTGTCGAGTGGTTGGCAGCGCCTCTGGAGGAGCTCAGCCCTTTCGGGGCCTTCATCAATGACCAGTACACCAGGCAGTGATGTGATAGTTGTGACAGTCGCCCTCGTATACCGTAGTCACACTTTTTCTTCTGTTGCCGAGTCATGTGGTCACTGTAGTAACGGAGAGGCAGGGTGAACACCGTGCTCTCAAGCATGGCACCCGCCTCGGGGTTGGAGGGGCATGAGGGGCTTGGCATGTAACTTGCATCCGCCGCATCTGTCCCTGAGTTTCATGACAGAGATCTTGACTGAGGTGATGCCATCACCATAACCAGCCAGCTCTCACCCAACGTAGTCCCGTTCGCGTCCTTCATCTTTCGTGCGGCCAGAGCCTGTTTCCGAACTGAAGTGTGTCCAACATGTCTGTGTCTGCATTACTCGAGTGATGCTTGGGTTTTTAGAGGTTTTTTTCTGGAAAATTGGCCTTGGCTGGCCAAAGCTAGCAGCCCACGCATGGCAGGTGACAGGACGGATCGAGGATGGCTCTGACCTCAGGTATGAATGAGGTCTCATGCTTGGATATCCGCAAGTTGGGAAGACAAATTTGCAGGTTACTTTAGCTGGTCATGTGGAATAGAGAGCCGCTTCCTAAATCTTGAAGTGCGCTCCTGCAACATTGCTACGGACTTGCCATGGTGCCAGGTGCCGGATCAGCAGCACACCGGGAAACAGGCTCTCCAATCGACGTGCATGTGTTTGCATCATGAGTGCAATGAGAGCACAATGGCTTTTGGTATCCTTTCGTGCATTGTTGACTGCGGAATTGTATTTTCATTTTTGGCGGAGGACCCATGAAGGACGATCCCAAAGCGCAGGTGTTCGCCTTACTGGCAAAGAGACTCTGTAGAGCGCTTCTTAACTCACGGAAGTTGAGCTTGAGCCGATCAGGAGCTTCGGCACATGGTCTCGGATGACTGGGTGCTTGGCTGAAAGCACGTTGAAGCGTTGCAAAGTGGAAGTAGATGTTCAGCCCACATCTTGCTCCGGATTTGCTATCGCTGCTATCCTAGGCTAGGCTCTTAGAAGCTGCATCGGCTGTATGTGCTGTATGCTTTCTGGCAGAGATGCACTTTGCTGCTAGAAGCATGTGCCGACGGTGCCTTCATGACCCTGATAGTTTGGACCATGTCCAAGGTGAGAAGAAATTGGGATGTGCCTTTGGCAGATAAGCTCTCGTGCATGAAACGATTCCGAGATACAGTTGAGACACTCTTGAGACAGTTTGAGGCTCATGGCGCAGTGCATGGGATTGAAGTTAAGAAAGGTTGGAGTCTTTGAAGCTCTCTGCAAGAGTTGACGTCCGAGTCTCTCTGGTTCATGTCCCATCATCTCGAAGGACATCCTAGGACCTAGGACATCCAACTAAGTGTAGGGAGACCCTTGCATGCCAATGTTGTTTGAAGTATTGCTTTCTTGGTTTCAGTGCTCGGCAGGTGACCAGCACCCAAAATGATGATTTCCACAGGTTCCCACCCTTTCAGCAAGCGTTGCTTCAGTTTTGCAAGGTCTCACAAGAACTGGGCAGCGGTGCCTTCAGCACGGTGAAGCTGGGTGTTCGCACGAAACAGGTCCCCTGGCCGTGGTGGCGACATGCTGATGAAGACATCTGAAGTTCGGAATGTCCTCCGATGACGAGAGTGTTAAAGTTGTCCATCTTGTACCAGCCAGGGGAGCTCGGAGGCATTGCCGGCCGGTTTGAAGTGCGCCATGAAGATGATTGAACCTCGTTGGCAAGTTCTGCAAGTGATGGTCGGGATGATGGCTTTCGCGGCCTCGGTCACGCGGGGGAGGTAGGGGTCAGTGGGGGTGTTCTCGACTCGAGTCGAGGAGGCCGGGCTTGTTGAGATTTTTGCTGATGCGAGGGAGTGGATCTCGAACCTGCCGCACAGCGTAGCGCAAAATAGCTTGTCACAATTCGCAGACTGGCTCCAAGGCGGTGCCAGAGTAAACGGCTAATGGCTGAACACCACCTTTGATGTGGGACACTGCCTAGTTCAGGCTGCTAGTGGGAAATCGACCTCCATGTTCCTGCCGAGTTTCCGAAGAAGGGTAAGAGTTGACGTACGGGCCGACAGGTCGACATGTGAAAATGTTGCAAAAGACGAAGGGAGAGCTCACACGACTCGGACAACCTTCCACGAAGTCCTACGAGAAGTGGAGTATAGGCCAGGCCTAAGTCACCTCAAGCACCTCAAGCTGCAAGTGAAACCCCCTTTCGATGTCAGTGACCCGGTCGCCTTCGCATGGGGACTCATGGGGCTCGTCACCATGATGCACGGGGCGGCACGTTACAGCTAAATGAACACACACCACAAAACCCTATCTGTACTCAAACTCTTAAGATTCTTAAGCAGCTTCGAAGCAGCTTCTAAGCACATCATGGAACCACACCCAGCCAGAAATTCACCACACCAAGCACGACGCTTCGCTTCCTTTGCCTTCGCATGTCTGGTAGCCTTTGTAGTCGCTCTCTAGTCTGCGGAGCCGAGGACAAGAGGAAGTTCTTGAGTTTCCAGAGCAACCGCTCCTCAGGGTCTGATACCCAGGTCTGTTTGCCAACAATTCGTGTTGTGTCTAGTCTTGTGGCGATTGCACGCTGTAAATTTGATCTCCGTCCCATGCAAAGATGTTGGAAGAAGAGTGTCCCCAGCAGATTACCTCGACCCTGCAGCTCTCTCAGGCTGACCCTCAATGATGAGGCAAACCTCATGACCAGCCCGGGACCTTGCAGTGACTTTCTTGAAGCCTTGGAAGCAAGCAGCGTGCTGAAGATTGTTGAAGTGTTGATCTCGCCTAGGCCTGCAGCACCCGAACATTGCTTCTTGGCAGCCGTAGAGATGAGTTCAGAAGACACAGGAGGAAGATTTCATGGCCAGTGGCATCAAATGGTCACTGTCTTGCGTTAACATTTGATGTGATGAAGGTGTCGTGCCTGGAGTGGTTCCAGACGGAGGCCATGGTCCAAGTCTAGAGTGTAGCTTGAGGTCCACACAGCTAGAATCCTGATGCATCCTAGCAGTCGACGGTGAATATCCGCAGTTTGGCACCTGAGCTGGTTGTGTCCCATGCGGCATACACACCCGAGATCCACATCTACCTAGCCTTGGAGTTGGTGCGAGGCCAGCATGCCCCTGACCAGACACCGCTGCCTTTGCCATTTGACCACTGAAGTTTCGACCTTTCTTTTTGGCCTTGTTTTGCAAGGCGGGGACCTCCTGCACAACCTCATGGAGGGGGGGTGCCTAACCGAAATGCAGGCATCGAGTGATCGAACGGATGCACAATGACTTGCTCAGAGGCAGCTGTTCGACCGCAACTTTGCGAGGCAGTAAGGATCTTCCGCCAGATCTGTGATGCGGTACATTACATTCATGTCACGGTGAAGCTGGCCGGGCACTTGGCATGGAGCGTGGAATCTGCTTTCGCATGGCAGGAGGTGTGTGTGTGTGTGTGTGTGTGTGTTTGTTTGTTTGTGTTTGTTTGTTTGTGTGTGTGTCCATGTGGGTCCCAGTATGGCTCTCAGCGTACACAAGCAGCATGCCGCTCAGTGACTAGTCTTCAAGTGAAGGTTCACAGAGACTTGAAGCCAGAGAATGTCCTTCTCACCAACAAGGATGGCGTGAGAGTCATGTGATTGCCTTGCTAGACTCTGGCTCTTCGGAGATCAGACGCTTCTGGACACATTCCGAGCCTCATCTGAACTCAGCGCCAAACCTCCAAAACAGCTTCCGAAACTGTACACTCTCCCGCACCGCGGCGCTGCCTCAACGAACCTGAGCCTGCACTTGCATCCCTTCCGAGCCCGAACCCAGGCCCAGTCGCGAGCCCTGTTACTGTAAGACGTGGGTCCATCTGGACACTTGTTTTTATGTCTTCCTTTCCTGAGCACACGTTGCTGCAGGACCGAGACACCATGGTTCCCAAACTTGCGGATTTCGGGCTTGCTCGACACCTGGCTCAGTTCAGCCCCAACTCAGCCCATGGCTTCGACTTGTCTTACAGTGGCACTGCTCGATCTCGACACTCGAGCTTCTGGTCTGATCAGTTGCGATTCAGCAGCACGCTGAAGCCACGTAGCCAAGTCTGTGCACGTATTTTGATGCCTGTAGATCATTGGGTTAGTTGTGGTTAGACCTTCATGGTTTCGACGATTTGCGAGTGGCTATTGCGGTTATGGCCTGGACGTGGCATGGCTTAGCGGCTTTATTTGAAAGTTAGTTGCCGTCATGCATTAGTCTTGCGCCAAACTGCCGATCTGGCAGTTGGAGGCAGTGTGCTTGGCTAAACTAGGCCGAACTGTTGAGAATCTTCGTCGACTTAATCGGCTTCGGTGACGTTTATCGAGTCTTGGGGCTCGGCTAAGCGCGAAAACTGGAAAATGATGCTTTCCGACCATAGCGTCCCTTTGTGCGTGTGTCACTCAAGACCCTCAGTCTGAGGAGTCAACATGAAGTCCATGGACTGTAAAACCTTCTGTGGAACGCCGAAGCCTCGGAAGTGTGAATGTCGTTTCTGCGTTCCGTTTGTTTAGGAGTGTTGACATGATGCCTAGGGCCTAGGATTGAAGGAAAGACATCAGACCACTCGGTGATAGTCTATCATTCTATCACTGCAAATAACGTTCGTGGAGGCTCTGATTCTGGCCCATGCTAGACGTCCATAGCTGGTGGCAATGTCTCGTGACATGAGCTGCGGCCAAAAACAGTGAGCTTTATCCTAGATTTTTGTCAGGGTGAACGTGACGGCAGATCCGTAAGCCTGCTGATTTCAGGCCACAGTACTTCGCTCCGGAGGTTATCAATTCAGCCAAGAAACTTGCTCAGCAATTCTGCCGTCCGACATGCAATGCACTTGATAGTGATTCCGTGGCGCTTGTGTTTGCCGGTCTTGAAGGGATTCAAACCTGGGCTATGGCAAGCCGGTTGACATGCCCGCAACCCAGGAGGCGTTTGCTTCTCAAATTCCGCCGCGTGTGACGAGAGCCTCGAAAGACCAACCCTGGGATGCAATTGGCACAGCACACGATCAAGCCGGCACAGCACAAGAAAGACAAAGCAAAGCAGAAAGTAACTGGCAAACAGCAGCAGAAACTAACGACGACGACGGCGGCGGCGGCGACGACGACGACGACAGCGATCCCCATGGTGCACTGGCAACCGCTGAGCAAGCTGGTAACCCGAAGCAAAACCAAACCAGCCAATTCCAAAACAAGCGAAGAGAAAACGATTCACAGCTACCTAACAAGTGCCGGAGGACCACTCACAAGTGGAGGGAGCGTTCGTATTTGAGGTGGAAATTCGATGCCCCGGCTGCGTATGACTGTCTCCAGTTTGCACCACACCCTGTGTTCTTCAATAGCTTCCTTCACACGATTGCAGTACTGCATTGGCTTAGTGCGATGTCACCAGGAAACTCATGGAATACTTTCTCGACCTGAAAGCGATGATTGACAACCCACTAGGCTGACGAAGGGGAGGTCCCTGTGAGGTTGCACCTTTCCCGCCGGTGGAGGGACGTTACAACGCTGCAGCGTGCCGCCGCCCCTGCCGCCCCTGCTTCCCAGAAGCCCTGCCTTGCGCAGCCTTATTCCTGTCTGAGACGAATGCAAGGGTGTGCTGCTCCACCAACAGCGGCAACTACAATCAGCAACGAGCAGCGGCGACAGCAACAAGCAACCACAGTGCACAAGAGTAACTAGTGCGACTTCTTGCACTGGACCCGAGACGAGCTAAGACTCGGCCAGTTTGCCAAGGTGGAGTCTTGGGGTGAATCTCTATATCATGTTGTGCGGCGTTCCACCGTTCGAGGACATGGGACACTGAAAATTGGTGCAGAACGTGCCAAGTCGTGTTAAACTGTTAAACCATGGCAAACCTGCACTTAGAGCGGCTCGAGGACGAAGGTCTGTATCAGCAGATTGTGCAGGGCAACTGGCAGTTCGATGTGCTTTGGCTGATTTCTATTGTGTTTCTTGCTTACACTCGGCTCCGCTAAGAATCACGAACGTGACTTTGATCAGGTTCCTCAGTTCTCTCAAGTCTCGGAGGAGGCCCGTTGCTCCCGCCATCAGTTCCGTGCCTTGTGGGGACACAAGTTTGCGCTTTGTGGGATTCTGCGCCCCGTTGTTCTTGAAGATGTTGGCATCTGTTGCTCGTGATGAGATGAGGGATCACGTCGTCCTTCTGGCCTCATCCTTCTCGTACTGTACTTCTGGAGAACACAAGTCGCATACAGAACCACGCATACGGAATCTGCTGAAGCACGCTCAGCATGGGCGTGTGCCCGCTGCCCAGGACTTAAAGAGGCATCGAAGACACAGCGGATGGGTGTGATGTATTGAGCAGTCTGCAGCTGAACCTTACCAACCGCCACGTTCTGCAACGGATTTCCTCCACGGTCAAGAACAGCTGGGAGCCCAAAGACAAGTGCCATCAAGTCACTCACAAGACCTCTGGCCGCTAGCCGGCTGAAAGAGTACCCAATGACTTACATGCTCTCGGAACTTGTACCAAATCGTTACTGCTTTCTGCGGGCAAGTGCTCCTTGTAGGCGAAAGATCTGGTCCGCAAGCTCATGACGGTGAACCCGCGAGAGCGCATCAACATCCAACAGGACCTTGCGTCTCTGTTTTGCTGCGAGGCTTTTGAGGAGCGTTGAGTATTCGAGTGGATTGCTGATTGAGTTTGAGAATGTCACCCCTTCTCCAGAGTTCTTTCTATTTTGTTATGACATGGTTAGGATTCGGGGGCTGTAAGAGATTTACAGGCTTGGGTGTTTTGGCAGGCCCCGTGCGTTGTTAAGAGCCATGGGCCAGAGCGTTCTTCGACAGTCTTCCACTCCAATGCACGCATGCATGGGTGCGTGGGTGCCTGGGTGCGTGGGTGTGCTTCAGTCTAGCCTCGGTGTCGCCCCGACGAGGGGATCCAAATCAGATCCGGAAACCATCTGATGTGGATACCCAGCGGCCGCGCAGGGGTCGGGGGTGCGATCTTCAAACCTTCTTCTTCGGAGAAGAGAGAGAGAACTCGCTGAGAAGAAAATTCCGAAGAACAGCAGGAAAAAAGAGAGCTCGAAAGAAGTGAGTGCTGTTACTTCTATAACAACTGCTGCGGCTACTATAATGACCAGCGCTACCACGCATGTTGCCCATGCTACGGCTGTTATCTGCTGCCGCTGCTGCTGCGGCGGCTGGTGCGGTGGCTGGTACTAGTTCTGCTATTGCTACTGTCACGGTGTTGCTACCGCTGCTACTGCTGTTCTGACATGGCCGCGCTATGCCGCGCTGATACTCTTTGCAAGGCCCTGAACGAGCCTTGGCTTCGCATCGCCGAGATCGCCGAGCCTTGCTCCAAGTGCACCAAGCTTTTCCGACACCTTGATGAACACGTGCGCCGTGCGCCTTTCGAGCATGAATTTGACCCGAGTTTCGCAACTCCAGCGCGGTCCGCTGCAAGATCGTCAGCAGGCCTTCGGCTAGAGTCGACCAGTCAGCTGTTGAGAACAACATTCATGGCCTTATGTTGAGCAGTCGTTTGTTTCGACTTGCCCGACTATGTGAATAGAGGCCTGGGCGTGGGATGTGACAACATACAGGCCCGTGCACCTGTGCGGAGAGCTGTGCTGGGTGTGCGCAAGAGAGTCAAAGCGCTTCAGGGAGAGGAGAGATTCCTTGTATCTTGACAAGGTCCGCCATGCGGACTGCATCGAGGAGTGCTTGCTTGGCTCCACGTACTTACAAACATGATCTGGCCTGACTCCATGCAGGTGTTTGGGTGCAAAGGCTTGGGTTTGTTGCAGATGAAAGTTGCACCATTCGGAATTTTCAGCTCGAGGGTCCTCCATGCGCACTTTGATTCATCTGTCTGTCATCCCGTAGGGACACAAGCACATGGATCGTGTGAAGGAGCCGGCGCCGAAACGGCGCAAATCCGAGGACATCGGCATGGTGATCTCTTAATTACGGGGATTCTTCAGGCTGGGCCTGCTATGAACTTCCAGTGATGGTCGGCTGGACTTCTTGTTTCTGTCCATTCTGTATGAGTTGAGACCCCGTGGAATCAACCTACTTGTGGTTCTGTGTCGCTACACGTTCTAGCAGGCTGATTCCGAAGCCTGAATTCTGACGGGGCGTTCCGTCATATGTAGTAATGTAGTGCGTTTGCACACTGGGTTTCACAGGCAGCTGAGCACGTGACATAGCCACCCATGTACAGAAGCAGGTGTAGAGGGGAACTGCAGCGGCTGCTTCGGGATTCACAGAACCAGGAGAAACAAGAACTTCAGGCAAGGTAATATACACCTCGACTTGAGATTCATGATCGTAATTGCCAAATTTAAATATGAATATTAATATTCAAATTCAGAAGATTGTAATTTTGATTATTCGAAAGAAGCTCACAAAAACCACTCGATGACCTTTCCACGAACCGCTTGCAACAGCTCAGGTGTAGGGTTCACGATGTTCTCCCGCCAAGGCTCAGTTAACACTTCACCCTGTCCTTCAGTCGTCGGGCCCAGGTGGGCCGTCCACCGCACACTATGGCTCAGGATCAGCTACACTCACAAGTGACCCTCCTAAGTCAACGAGAAGCTCTCAGCCTGGGCCCCTGAACAATCAACCCGAAAGACGTGTGGAACCCTGGAACCCTGGTTCTTTTGAGCGCCAACCGGCTGCTGTACGGATACCTCTGTCGCCCGCCTGAAGGTAAGGGCACGTAGAGGCTCCGCTACCATGAACACTTTTCTCACGAGTGAACACAGCTGCAGCGGCACACTCAAGGAATCACAGCATGACCACATGGTGCAACGGGCAAAACAGTTTCTCTACAAAATGCGAAGCTATAAATACTAAGACATCGCAATCAACTCAAACTCGCAATCACAAGTGTCCACTGGTGTCTCCCATCTACCGCAAGGTTCGTGTCGCAAACTCCACACGTCGTGAGCGGGGACGAAGTGTTCCTGGAGCGATGTGTAATGCACAGCGTTACACAACGGGTCGGCTTTGGCTCAATTCAAGAAAAAGTGATTGCAGCTTGCCTTATGCAATGATTCCTGGCATTTGGCGACCGCTCAACTAATACGTCGAAGACCACATGCCATTGGTGTTTTGCCTCTCTCAGGGAACCGTCAGCCCGAGCTACCGATTACCTGTGCGTCGGCCCGGTCGGCGTCGCTTTGACTTTGATCTCAGGAAAGGAAAGTACTACCGTCCTGAGCATTGAGGTGCTTCTGAATAACAACATTCTGCTACCTGTTCGTTTCATCGACAAGTTGAATCGGTCACGAGGGGCAGAAAATGCACCCAAGCATAGTCACGTATGCGCCACTTGACAGACACCGACTACCTGATGCCTGGCCAGCGGTCTATTCGCGATACGCCTCTCACAGAAGAAGACAGGGCATGGATTGCAAACCCAGCGGAACCGAAAGGGCCTCCACCGGGCAAGGGCAACGTCGACACCGTGAACGTCGCCGGCCGGTGACTGGCACAGTAGAACTCAGCGCTGCGCTGATTTTCTTGCAGGGCGACGCCTTGCGCGAGCTCTACCTGTTTGGCTACGTCCACCGTCCATCTGCTCAGCTACTACGTGTATGTCCCTGACTTCACCGATGTGGTTTTTGTCACGTTGCCTCTTTCTTCGACGACACTCTGATTCTGCCGAGTCATTTCAGGGCGTCGTCGCTGACGTAGTCAAGTGTCGCAACGTGTTACTTTTAATCCAACGCTCAGAACTGAACGGATAAGTCATTGTTACTTTCTTGTTCCAGTCGCGACATCTCTTCCTGTGTGAGTAGTGCCAAAGGCACAACCCATGGGGGGTGCGAAAGGATGTCGAAGCGTAGTCCAATTAGTTAGGGTTCGCTATGTGAGCAATGGAAAAAATGCGGCGGGGTTGCTTGCAAAGTACGAGCATGCCAATAGTTTTAACAGTGCTCCGCTTCACCGCAACTCTGTGGCTCAGGTCAAGACCTGCGGCTTACGTCACCAGCACAAGTGTCTGCCAATAGTTCAAAGCTTACTGCTTCGGTATGCTTCGGTTGTTTGCTTAGTATCCTGAGCCACGGAGCCGTAGCGAGTATTTCCCGATTGCACAAACCGTTGCTGAGCATCCGTGAAGGAAAAGTTCGGATCAGCGTGCCTGCAAAGGAAAGGGATCGAGTGAGAGCGAAGTGTACATTTACCCGATCTACCGTGCAAGCTATCTATCTTACAACAAGCACTAGGAGAAGCTCGTGTGAGGGTCAGCCAATACAAACATTTGATATGAAATTCAGGAGCAGGAAGGCCGGCAAATTCTGGCCATGCTGCAGCGTCGTGCAAACCCAGAGCGCCGGCATGCATGCGTCGGCAATGGGGTGACTGGAGTGGCATCTCGGCTTGAGTTAAGTTTGCCCCCCCCCCCAGCCTGAATGTGCGGGACATTGGCCCCGATTTTCCATTCTCAAATGGACATGAGGAGGGAGATAGATGCCTGGGGGAAAAGGCAAACACCACATCGTTGTCTTGTGACACACACACACACACCGTGCATGATCTTGATACTACAAGTTACAACTGCTCTCAGCCGCTCTGAGGCGGGTGTGATGAAAGCATGCTGGAAGTGCAGATCCGGGCCGCGATATGCACATCAGCATGGACTACAAGACGCACGATTTGAAGACGCGTTGCGACTCTGACTCGCGTTAGTACACTTGTGCCTCCTCGGACATGTTTCCCAGCCAACGAGCAATGCGGCAATGCATGCCAGGGGTAGCTCGATCTGCTTGGGAAACAAACGTTCGCAGTTGAGCGAATGCCATGGAACATGAGTTCATACATTTTGAGATGACCTCCCCTAGCACCGTAAAGTTTAGCCTACTGGACGAACAAGCAGGCTTGACGGCTCGTTGATAGAATACGAGGCCAAACCCAAAAATTCGCTCACATTCTCTGATAGAGTCAGGCCCTGGGCTGGCACTTCTTGACTCACACTCATCCATCTAGGATCAAAACACGCTTTCAGAGATTCTAAGACGCCTTAATGAAGGAATATCCCTTCATATGAGTTTAGATATATTACTTATTAAGGGGTTCTGGAGCCCCTGGACCCACCACAGGTAATGTTGAAGCCCGAGCATTCCTCCCTTCACTCTTCAAAACCCTGCTTAAACTCTCTGAAGCCCTTATTTCTTGAAATTCTAGATCCCGAATGTTAAACATTTCAACTTTAAATCCGTAATTCATGAATTTCTCCGAAACATATTGAATACTCTGAATGCTTTAATTACTCGAATGACCTAAAGTCCTCAATCCCCTACATACCGTCAATACCTTCAATCCAACAGGGTCTAGGGGTTAATTAGGAGGTCTCTTCTAGGATCAAGCGTTCAAGGTTGAGGAGTTTGGTTTAGATGATAGGCTCCGAGATTTTACTGAGTAAGTGTTAGGGTTTAACTAAAACCCTACACCCTAAATCCTAAACCCTAAACTCTAGGGTGAGTTTGTATTGGGATTTAGTTTTGGCCTCTGGTGAGCTGGTATTGTTGCGCTTTGATGCTTTTTCTATTTTGATATGGACCTAGACAGGCTAGGCCGGCTAGGTAGCTTTCAGGGCCCTACAAAATACTTGAAGTTCGGGCATCAGTGAGGGTCTTTAAACTCTAAGCCTAAACTTTAAGCCCTAATTCTGTTGATATCTTCGTGCCCCGTCGAGGTCACCGAATTTGCGCTTCAATCGCTTCTCCTGGAGTGGGTTGTGCTGGCTTCTATTTTAATGTAGGGTTATTTTGAATCGACGCGGACGTTTTTTTCTGAATCCATTGTGGTATTTTGTTATTTCATGGCCTTATACTCTAGGAAATTAAGGCATGTTGTGGGGCGGGGCGTCTTGTTTTTTGCACTTTGCTGTTGTCGACAAGTATTATGTGTCGTAAGAGATGTAATCACCAAGGGTTATGTAAATTCAAAAATGGCGTCTCTACAATGGAGGTCACGCCCTATTGTGAATCTTTTACTCGCAATTGATGGAGGTCACACCCTGTCACTACAAATGGGAGATTACGCCACTACTTTAAGTGGAATGATATTAAATAATAATATTGCATGATTCTTGAGGATTGCATCACGATGATAGGCAATCTTGATTATTATTCTTATATATTATTGAATTATTATATTTGAATATATATTGAGACATATAGTTAATTTTTGGATTCTTATTTCGGTTATGGGTATTTTTTTTCTCGGGCCGAGTTCGGGGTGGTGTTGGGAGTGTCTGTGTAATATTCAGAAATATGGAAGTATATAATTTATTGGAAGTTTCTTATTGATGGATGTATATGAGAATATACATTTATTGGAAGTTTCTTATTGATGGATGTATATGAGAATATAAATTTTTTATATGTTAGTTGTTGATATGATTTTTATAAGTAAAATTTCTAAAAAGAAATTTTCTCGTTCTAGGGTCTTTAATTATTATATTTAATTTTTAATTTAATAATAATGAAAGAAAATTTTCGGTTAATGAATATAGGAGAAATTTCTAAATAATAAAAGAAATGA